TGGATTCTTTCCCATGAATGGACCGTTGGAGATCTCTGGAACATGGTGCTAGAATATTCTGCTCAAAGGCTGTACAAGCAAACAAATCTTGGCTTCTTCTCTTGGCTACTTCCATCTCTAGCTAACACCAATGAAGCAAACAAATTTGCAGAGTCAAGGCCGCCTTGACTCTGCAAATTCAACTTGATCAAGTTGTTTGCTGCATCTCGATGCTGTATCTGTGCGTTTGCCCACATAGATATGTGAAAAGTGATTATTTTCAACTTACAACCATGATAACGTTGTCTTTTCACCAGTTCTTGATCCTCAAGCATGACTCATTTAGGTGCACTAGTCATGGTGTATTCTGGTTTTGGTCAATTGTTTGAATCAGTCTATATATAAATGAAACAAGTTCTCTTGTCTGGTTATGCTGAATTTTCCCGGTCACAAACATTTGACGTAGATTAAATGATTGGACTTGGTCTCTAAGGAAAACGTGTTCCTGTTTGACTTTGGTGGCATCTGTTATAAAGAAAAAAAAGTGGGCCCTTGTTTCTACTTTTTCAAGCTAGTTACCAAATTAAATGATGCAGACAACATCAAATATCGTTTTCTTTTCCTTAATCCTTTGCAGTCTTTTATCTTCTGCTTTGTAAACCTCTTTCAGGAAATCAGATAAGGCAACAAGGATGGAGAAGAGGGCAGATCTTAGGTCACTTCTTCAGTATTTGCCTCTTGTGGCTCAGTCTTCATCTCTTGTCTGGCCACGTGCTGTTGAACAAGAGCTCCAAACAATGTCTAGGGGACCGAACAAGTCAATGGTCAACTCTGGAGAGAATCTTGCCTTGCATATCACGAATATGCGCAAATCCCTCTCCTTGGAGGCATCTGATCTCGCTCCCAATCCACTACGAGGGTATGCTGTTTTCTTTGACAAGGTAACAATTCTTCTATCTTTTCATCTCTCTTCTTGGTTGTTTGTGTTTCTTTTTTTCATTGCGTCTCTAAATGTGAAACTACTGCTGAACAATTAGCATGGGACATTAAGAAATGGCAAGGACTCGTTAAGGACTCACAGACGACTGTTTTATTCTGATGCAGAAAATTTCCAGAGAAGAATCAGCTAAGTTTTTTGGTGAGGTGGTTCCTGCGTTGTGCGGATTACTTCTCCAGTTACCTTCATTGTTAGAAACGCATTATCAGAAGGCAGACAATGTTCTTGGTGGAATTACGTCCGGGCTTCGTCTATTAGGCCCTCAAGAAGCTGGCATTGTGTTTCTAAGCCAGGTATACTTTCTGAGACCAACCATAAATATGTGTTTGGTTGCACTGAATTAGTGTTAATATAGTTAATTTTGTAGTGATCGTTAGAGGTGAAGTTGCTTGATCTTTGCCTTCAAGCTTTCATTCGTCTCTTCTTCCTTTGTTTTTCACAGCTCAGTATATTTGCTGTCTTTTGCAGGAGTTGATTGCAGCTCTTCTTGCATGTTCCTTCTTTTGTTTGTTCCCTGAAGTCAACAGACGATCAAAGCATCTTCAAAAAATCAACTTTGATGAACTATTCTCGTATGTGGCTCGGTTCTTATCCTTACAACTTACAACTATATTCCCCGTAGTTACAAATCCTACTTGTGTTTTTTAAGGTTTCCGTCTATGAGTCACAGCACGAAGGAGGAAAACAAAATAAGATGCCTTATCAATTACTTTGAAAGAATTTGTCGATGTATGCCCACCGGCTTCGTTTCGTTCGAGAGGAAAGTTCTTCCACTAGAATACAATCCTCAATATGTTTCTTATCCTGAGCAAGATTACTGGGCCAAATCCAGCACCCCGCTCTGCTCCGTTGAGGTAACATTAAAACAATCTTAATTAAGCCTTCTTCGCTGTTGTGAGAATGCTTTAGGCTATCATCCTCTTGATCCATTTTGTATTGGATTAGATTCATACCTCAGGAGCTATAGAAGATCAAAGCGGTGAAGCTCTTGAAGTGGATTTTGCAGATGAGTATTTTGGAGGCCTTACTCTGAGTTATGATACTCTACAGGTCTGACTCTTCTTGCAACCTCTACCATCTTATCCACTGAATAAGTTTGTTTATGTACTTGTTTCAAGTTTTTCTTTAATAATGATCTGCTGAACATATCATAATGTCTTCCTATGTAGGAAGAAATAAGGTTTGTGATCAATCCAGAACTTATCGCTGGGATGTTCTTCTTGCCTCGTATGGATGCAAATGAAGCTATTGAGATTGTTGGCATTGAAAGATTTTCACGTTACACAGGGTAAGTAGTAAGAACCAGTGAGTTGAAGTAGATGTTAAGCTTATTATATTAGTCTTCAAGAAATCCAACACATGGAGGCGCCAATTAGGTATGGACCTTCATTCCAATACGCTGGCGATTACACAGACGAGAAGGATTTCGATACTTTGAGGAGGCGAAAAACGAGAGTCATAGCTATAGATGCCATGCCTAACCCAGGAAGTACACAGTACAAACCTGATTCCCTCCTTCGGTAATCAAAACTTGCCTTATTCATACGTTCTTTCTTTTTATACAGTTTTAAGGTTTGTGACTTGCTCATTGACTCCTATTGTTTCTATAGAGAGGTTAACAAGGCTTTTAGCGGATACCTGCATCAATGTAAATATCAAATTGATGCAGACTCTAACTATACTCACCCTGAGGCATCATCTTCGGTAAGAACATCACTTTTGCTCGTACTTGTTAAGTTTTTTTTCCCTGACTTTACTAAGATTAAATCTGTTCTGGTATAGCGGCCTAATTCTCTTCCATCAGCTACGGCGAGCCAAGTTATAGAAAGCTCTCAGAGATTGTGTATCGATCATGAAGAGAAGATCGGTGTAGCTACAGGTAATTGGGGTTGCGGTGTGTTTGGAGGCGATCCAGAACTAAAGATCATGCTTCAGTGGCTTGCCATTTCACAGGTACGCTTCTCTGTTTTCTTCAATTGCTCCTGCAAACAAACTATCAGCATTCCATTTAAAAGCAAAAACGCTCTCAATCTACTTTCTCCAGTCGGGAAGACCCTTGATGTCATACTACACATTTGGCCTCCAAGCCCTGCGAAATGTGAATCAGGTTATTAGAATCTTACTTGACTCGTTGAAACTACATCACTGTTTCAAGACATTTGAAAGCATATTATTATGTTATATGCTTTTCAGGTGGTCGAAAAGGTCGCTTTGCAAGAATTGAGTGTAGGAGACTTGTGGAGGAAGATAGTGGAGTATTCTGCAGAGAGGCTCAGCAGAAGAACAAGGCTTGGCTTCTTCTCTTGGCTCATAGCCTCACTCTCTACTTAGAGAACCCAGTTGAGCCAAAGTACTGAATTCTGTGAGATCCATATCTGATACCTCTGTCTGTTTCTGAAACCTGCAATCTATCCATTAAATGTCGTATCGCTTACTACTTTGAATTGGCCTGATTATCTGAATGATCTTTCCTTGTGCAATTGGTCTATTTATCTTCTTAAAGCATTTACGCAAGACATATTCAAACCAGTTTCTGTTTTTTGCAACGAGGATTAGTATGAAATAAAGCCAGATGGAAACAAAAAACAACACCATATATTATCATCCATGTCAAACATTTTAAGAAAGCTAACAAGCTAATGTCATGAATGAATCTAAACAAACTCGGAATAAAAAGACCAAAACAAAAAATAGTCACATAGCAGAGCTGTTTTGGCCGGTGTTTTGAGTTACAACTTACAACCGGAGCTCCAGATCCAGATCGTCGGCACAGAGTGGTGAAGTCCACCTATATGTCTCTTGTACAGCCTCCAGAGGAGCCACCTCCGCCGCCATCCAGTTGATTTCTCCGGACTCTCTAGTCGTCTCAGGAACTGGAACTCGGCAAGTCCAGCTAATTGTCTCTTGTACAGCCTCCATAGGAGCAATCTCCGCCGCCATCAAGTTGAGTTCTCCGGAATCTCTAGTCGGCTCAGGAACCGGAACACGACCAGTCCTCCTTCTCTTTGGAAAGTTAGCAAACCTCCTGTTACTCTCTTCTTCAGCTTCACGCTCATATATATCGTCAGAATCTCTAGTAACAGCTGAAGCCATGGCTGAAGAAGAAGCTCCATCTGTAGCTTGAGGCAGAGGCTGAGCCACAACCCGATCTTGATCTGCATCTAGAGCCAGAGGTTGTGCCACAACCGGAGCTTGAGGCTGCTGAGGAGGAACGAGAGCAAGATAGAGCCTGCCTTTGGAGTGGAAGGACCAGAGGTGAATCTTCTGGTTTACCTGTAACCGGTTATGGCGAAAGACCTTGGTCCATCCGGTAACCAAGACGTAATTGCAACTGTTCTTCATATCCCATCTCCTGAGGTTAAGATTCCACTTTTGGCGATTAGAATCAACTAAGATCACATCCACTCCCGTCAGACGCCTCTTGTTGAAATGGTCATCTATGTTTCTCTGCTCTTCCTCGCTCAAGAAGTCCATATCCACCATCTGGTTCCACGGAATCAAGAGACGTGTTAGGTTTGTCGCGAGATCACTCTTCATAAGATCCTTTTCAATGACGAGCTTCGCATCCACGCCACCCTCTTCTCTCATTAGGTTAACCAGCCATTCCGGAGTCTCCCCCCTCTCTCTTCTGATGACCGGCTGTCTAACCGGCGGTTTTAATTCTCTAATCGGCACTGCTCTGATCGGGACCACCGCAAGACGCTTCTCGGACTCTACGGAGGACAAACTTGTTGAAGAAGAAGTAGTAGAAGAAGAGGAAGCGTGATCAAGACGGTTAGGGTTTTCTTGATTCTCGCGGCGCTCCATAGTCTTTCGTTTTCCCAGTAAAGATCTCGCGGCTTCCCCAGTTACGCAATCGATCAAGAATCTGTTTCTCTGTTCTTCTTTTTCTTCACGTCTCGCTCTTGTTTCTTCGTCACGGAAAGCGACAAGCAACCTCGCTAAAAGATCAAACGTTCTCCTCTCTCTCAGAAAACCCTCGCGTTGATCATCATCGTCTCTCATCATCGTCGCCATCGAAAAAAGTTAAAGCTTTTTCTTTTTTTGGTTTACGGCAATGAAAGTCGAAAACAATTAGGAAATAGAGAAGAGAGAGGCTGAGAGTTGTGAGGGTTTGTGTTATTGTGTAAGTAGGACTGCTTAAATAGATTTTGATTTGACTCAAGTCCTTTTCCTATTTAAGCTGTTAATCTTTACTAAACTTTCCTTTTTTAATTTGTTTAGTGAAGATAACCCTAATCTCAAATCTGTAAAAGATTGCCTCTTTTTCCTTTTTTATTAATCCGTATTCCTATTGGTTGAGGTTAATCTTCGGTAATAAAATAAATATATTTCAACATAATTAGAAAGTCTCGGAAGCTTCTTCAGTCCGTTGGGGGAAAAGGAAAAGGAAAAGGAAAATTCCCTAGTCAACAATAAGTCCACGCGAGGCACTCCCAGATTCTTGGGGTACAAAAAAAAACGGTTCACTGTAACATTAAATCTCGCGTGACGTGTCATTTTTTTATTGGTAAAAATTGTTCTGACATTAATGAACGAGTAAAACGGGGTTTTTAGCGTTTAACTAGCCAGTGTAGAGAATTTTTAGTGTTTGCGATTGCGATCAGTCCGGAACTTATCGCCGGCATGATATTCTTGCCTTGTATGGATGCAAAATGAAGCAAATGAGATTCTTAACGTTGAGATTTGAGAACATCAAATTTGCTCGTACATGGATTTAGCATACTTGTTAGCGGGTTTTTTTTCCTAACTTTACCAAGATTGCGGACATTTTTCCTCGTATAACAAGGTTGAATAAAGCTCTTGAAGGCGGTGTATCGATCATGAAGAGAAGAACGGTGTAGTGTGTTTGAGGCAATCCAGAACTAAAGATGATGCTTTATTAATGGTTCGTCATTTCAAAGGTAAACGTTTCTCTGTTTTCATTATTTTTTTTTCTTGCAAAACACACAATCATCATTCCACTGAACTGCGAAAACGCTCTCAGTCTACTTTCTCCAGCCGGGAAGACCCTTCATGTCATGCTACACATTTGGCCTCTAAGCTCGTACAAAACACAATCAAATTATTAGAATCTTACTTCACTGAAACCACTTCCTCTCTCATTTCTTTAGGACCTTAAAGAACATTTTATATTCATATATAATATATGCTTTGAAGGGGTCGAATTGCAAAAATTGATTGAAAGAGAGCTGTGGAGTAAGCTAGTTGAGTATTCTTCAGTGAAGTTCAGCTGAAGAACAAGGTTTGGCTTCTTCTCGTGGCTCGTCGTAGCAACCTCACTATCTGCTTAAAGGACCAAACTGAGTCAAAGTTTTATACTATTTAATTTTTCTGATCTCTATGAAATCCATTTCCTTGTCTGTTTTCTGACACATGAAGTCTGTTTATTACCAATTAAATCTTGTCTCTTGCTATAGTACAATTATATTTGCTCACAGTCAACACGTCAAACCGGTTTCTGTGTTTCCCGCGAGAAATCACATGATAAAAGACGGCTGCTAATAAAAAGTTTCCAAAACTAAAATTAGTAATTTAGTATCATCCGTTCAAACATTTCATTTAAGGAAAACTAACGAGCTATCTAATAATGAATCTAAATAAACACATCACATTAAAGAACAAAAACACCAAAAAAACCAAAAACGCTAAAAAAAAACCCCACCAATGCGGCAATGCCTGAGCTGTTTTGGCCAGAACCGATAGTTACAACCGGAGCAGACCTCAAGCCTTCCACATATCGGCCGCTAAAGCCAAAATGTGTAGATTATAAGCCACATTAACATCCACTTCAGGAGATCTTTTGACGTTATCTAAATCCTCGCCTATGCTTTGGCCGAAGTTGCTAGAGTCAGTTGGAGCTGGAGCTGGGACCTCAACTCTAGTGCTTCTGCTTCTTCTTGGAAAGTCAACAAATATCCTCCTGCGACTCTCCTCATCAACCTCTAGACTAGCGTCAACTATATATAGCTCGTCAGAATTTCTAGTTACAACTGGAGCCTGAGCTGAAGATGAAGCTGCATCCAGAACTGGTTCCAGATCTTGAGCCATAGCCGGAGTTGGAGCCATAACCGGACCTGGAGCTTGAGCATGATCCATAGCGGGAGCTGGAATCCTAACCGGACCCGGAGCTGGGCCTGGAGCTGGAGCTGGAGGAACGAGAGCAAAATAGAGCCTGCCTTTGGAGTGGAAGGACCAGAGGTGAATCTTCTGGTTTAACCTTAGCCTGTTATGGAGACAGACCTTCCTCCATCCGGTAATCAAGGCGTAGTTGGAAATGCTCTTCATATCCCATCTCCTGAGGTTAAGATCCCATTTTCCACCCTTAGAATCAACCAAGATCACATCCACTCCTGTCTGACGCCTCTTGTTGAAATGGTCATCTATGTTTCTCTGCTCTTCCTCGGTCAAGAAGTCCCTCTCCACGACTTGGTTCCATGGAATCAAGAGACGTGTTAGGTTTGTTGCGAGATCACTCTTCATAAGATCCTTTTCAATGATGAGCTTCGCATCAACACCGTTCTCTTCTCTCATTAGGTTAACCAGCCATTCCGGCGTCACACCCCTCTCTCTTCTGATGACCGGCTGTCTAACCGGCGGCTTTCTTTTAACCGGAGGTTTTCTTTCTCTAACCGGTTCTGCAGCTCTGATCGGTTCGTTGGGAACCACAAGACGCCTCTTGGACTCTACTGTGGAGAAACTTGGAGAAGAAGCATCATGATTAGGGTTTATTTGTTGACTCTCGCACTCATCAACCTTTCGTTTGCGCAAGTGAGAGAGCTTTGCCGCTCTACTTTTCTCTTCTTCTTCTTCTTCTTCATCTTTTCGTAACTCTCTTAGGAGAGCTCTCATCGCCGCATCAACCCAAAGGCGGACCTACGTTAGAGGAAGGGGATTCAGCTGACACCCCTTAAATAATATATATTTCATTTGTTACACTGTACATTAAGTAATTCACAGCATAGTTGGTTAAAAATTTTCTCTCTTGACCCCCTTTTGACCCAGGTAAAAATTATTCCTAGGTCCACCACTGATTCAACCCAAATATTGGCCGCCATCATCTCTCTCACCTTACTATGGAGTCGATCATCATCGGTCACCATCGTCATCGAAAAGTTTGGCTTTTTTTGAGTAATGAATTACGATAACAAGAAGGAAAAAAGAGTAGAGAGGCGGATAGGGTTTAGTAGCACTGCTTAAATAGAATATATGATTGTCTAAAGACCTTTTCCTATGCAGACACATATTTACTAAATCAATATTATATTGTTTTTTTTTTTTTTTAATTTTGTTTGGTGAAGATAAATCTCAAATCAGTACCACGCTGAATTTCAACATATATATAGTGATTCTCAAAAGATTCTCTAGTTGCATGCACTACCTGAATCTCGGAAAGAAAAGTAAACAGTCAAACACTAACAAGATTCTAATTTGTGTATGACGTGTCACTCTGTTTTGCGATCTTATTATATAAAGCTGGATGCGCGACGTGGTTGCGACACATAGGATTTTTATAAAATATAGGATCGTGACATGTGTCATTTTAATGTTAAAACCGTTAAGATCGTGACACGTATTTTTTTTTTAAAAAAGAATTTTTATTTATTTTACTTAAATATTAGAAAAACGAAAATTAATAAAAAAAGGAAATTTTAACATATAACATTAAATATATATATAATTATAAATAGATAAACATTAAATTTTTACATTTTTTAAAAATAGGAAAACACAATTCAAGAAAAAAATAGGAAACAAATAGCAATTTTTTAAAAAAATGTTATATCCATCAAGAAAAGGAAAAAAACATACTCCCAATACGAAAAGGAAAAATAATCGATATTCAGAAAAACATGAAACAAATAATAAAAGAAAAAATGTTACATCTGTTAAGAAAAGGAGAAAAAACATATTCCCATTAAGAAAAGAAAAAAAAAACAATATATAATAAGTTATAGCTTTCATGATTTATTGGGGAAATTTCAAAACTACACCTTTTGAGATGCCAATTTTCAAAAATACACCTCTATGATGCCAATTTTCAAAACTACACTTTTTTCATTTAGTAAAAGAACTCTAAACCCTAAAATATAAATCCAAAACCCTAAAATCTAACATTGAACCCTTTAATCTAAACCCTAAATCCCAAAATCTAAACCCTATATAGGATTAGTGAACCCAAACATATATATTAAAACTGGGGAAAGGTGTATTTTTGAAAATTTTCACATTATAGGTGTAGTTTTGAAAATTTGCACCTCAAGAGATGTATTTCATAAAATTTCTCTGATTTATATCTGTGATTCTATCTTTTGTTTAAACTTTCTCTTTTATTAAAAAATAAAAATCATGTACTTTAAAGTTCAAGATATGAATGAAAATATTTAACTTTAGATAAATTGGGGAGAAATTGAAAATTTTGTCGCAAATTTTTTCTAATATATGATCATGTGATAACATGTGTTAACAAAAGAAAATTAGAAAAATGTAATAAGATAAATAAAAAAACTAACAAAATAATTTTAAAACAACTAACTAATTATAAATAAGAAAATTTATAATGGTCTGAGGCAAAACAAAATTGAACAAAAAATTATGATAAATAGAAAATTAACAAAATAATTATAACATAATAAGATATATCTAAATAGATTAATTTTCTATTTTTTGGTAGGTAAAACAATATTATGAAAAAGATTTCATCAATCGAAATCTTTTAAATTAGAATAATCAATTATTATTAAATATTATAATTATAATAATCAAAATAATCTTTTGAATATTATTCTACTTATTTTTAAAAGTGACCAGATTTTTGTTTAGTATTTTCCTATGATTTATTTCAATTATATTAAAATAAACCCGCGTATACGCGGGGCTTAATCTAGTTGATTATATTCCAACAAATAAAACTGGGGTTTATTTATGGGTTTAATTAGTGAAACCCGTATTTATCTGCAGATATCTATTTGTTGTTTTCAGTTTCCTGGGTTGAGAAAAAAAATTGGTTATATCCAAAGGATGGTCGGTGGGAGAGCCTAAATTTGGTTTGTTTGTCTGGCAACTTCGATCTAAAAAAAAAAAAAAAAAAAGAAAACGTCGATCATATCTGCTTAATAGCATTGACTCAAAGGACTTGTTTTAACTTTTAAGCAACAAAATCACATGTATCAGGTTTGAGAATATCATTTGTATATATATGCATGGGTACATGAAACATCGCAATACAAAAGGTGAATAGCTACGTATATGCATGCACACATGTTTTATCGTTTCGTGGATTATGTTGCTCTTAATTTGCTACGTGTCACAGTTTTGTTTGGTGGCAAAAAAATCATTCCAACATCATATATTCACAACTTTTTATCCGGGAGCTAACGAATTCCGCGTCATAACCAGATTAAATAAAACTGCTCGATATATATTTTAAAAAAATAAAAATTGAAAACCTTAACAACGCAGAAAATTAAAAGAAGAAGAGAAAAACTCTTCCAAGACTTTTATTCTTCTTCTCTAATCCTAATACCTAAACAGCATATATACATAAAAAAACAAGAAAAGAAAGAAGAGAAAAACATCCTAATAAAACAAGAAAAACATCAAAATAAGAACTTGAGCAGCTTACAAAACAAAACAAAAAAAATAAAAGAAAAATAACTTGCATTCCACGGAACTGAAACTAAAGTCTAGAGTCCACAATAAACAGAGATTAGTCACATAGTATAGCTTCTTTGGCCGTGGTTGTGAGAATATCTAGTCTCAACTGGAAACAGAGTTGGACCGGGACTCGAAGCTTGAATTACCAGAGCCGGAGCTTGAGCAGCAAGAGGTTCTTGAGCCGGAGCAAGACGCAGAATTCCACGTGTCGTCGTCTCTGTTACGGAGACCTGTGAGCTCCTCCTATTTGTCTCTTCTACAACCTCGAGACGATCCATATTGGAGATATCTTGGTGAGCAAGGCGAATCAAGTATTGTGGGCCATTGAAGCCCATTTATGAAGTGAAACCCGTGAAGCCACATGGAAGAATATTCTAGAGAAATCCTATTGTGATAAGGATTAGGAAGATTTACATTATTTGGTGTTATCATTATGTTAATGTTAACCCTATATATATGGGTCTTATTCTCTTGTATCAATAACACAATTCAATAATATATTTACCCTTCTATAAGATTTGTCATGGTATCAGAGCCTTCGATCTTTGGTGACAGAAATTAAAGCTTCCGCATAATGATGGTAGAAGAAGAATCCGACGATGATGATCCGGACGTAGTTTGTGTTCTTCTGCGTTACAAAAAGTTTTCTTAATTTCCTTTTCTTTTTTTTAAGTTGGTTTTTATATTTTATTAGTAATACGTGGTTTTTTGGTTTTATTGCTGATTTTCTTTTATTTTATTTGTTTGATACAAGACTTGAGAGTTATTAAGATAATCTTTTGATTAAGGGTTGTGGTTTTCATGGGTTTATTAGTTTATTTTTTTTGAGATTGATTCTTAAGTTTAGAATTTCTCAAATTTTTTTTTAGTTTCTCCTATTACGGGGGAGTTTGGTTATGAGTTTAGGGATTTTTATTGGAGCGCTCATGTTTTTAGGTCATTTATCTTTAGTCCAATTTATGGGCTGTCCGCGACAAGGACGATTATTTGTGGAATTGCAGGATTTTGCTTCCACGGGATGTTATTATTCCCTTTCTTTCAAGACCAAAGACGAGCATGTTCCATCCCTATTGACTTGTATTGCCATCCTCGACATGATTGTCCACGACATAGGTGTTCCGCATTGTGACTGCAGATTTTGCGTTTCGCGTCCACCTTTGTCGTGCGGGGGAGTATTGGAGATATCTTGGTGAGCAAGGCGAACCAAGTATTGTGGGCCATTGAAGCCCGTTTATGAAGTGAAGCCCGTGAAGCCACATGGAAGAATATTCTAGAGAAATCCTATTGTGATAAGGATTAGGAAGATTTACATTATTTGGTGTTATCATTATGTTAATGTTAACCCTATATATATGGGTCTTATTCTCTTGTATCAATAACACAATTCAATAATATATTTACCCTTCTATAAGATTTGTCATGGTATCAGAGCCTTCGATCTTTGGTGACAGAAATTAAAGCTTCCGCATAATGATGGTAGAAGAAGAGTCCGACGATGATGATCCGGACGTAGTTTGTGTTCTTGCTGCGTTACAAAAGTTTTCTTAATTTCCTTTTCTTTTTTTTAAGTTGGTTTTTATATTTTATTAGTAATACGTGGTTTTTTGGTTTTATTGCTGATTTTCTTTTATTTTATTTGTTTGATACAAGACTTGAGAGTTATTAAGATAATCTTTTGATTAAGGGTTGTGGTTTTCATGGGTTTATTAGTTTATTTTTTTTTGAGATTGATTCTTAAGTTTAGAATTTCTCAAAGGTTTTTAGTTTCTCCTATTACGGGGGAGTTTGGTTATGGAGTTTAGGGATTTTTATTGGAGCGCTCATGTTTTTAGGTCATTTATCTTTAGTCCAATTTATGGGCTGTCCGCGACAAGGACGATTATTTGTGGAATTGCAGGATTTTGCTTCCACGGGATGTTATTATTCCCTTTCTTTCAAGACCAAAGACGAGCATGTTCCATCCCTATTGACTTGTATTGCCATCCTCGACATGATTGTCCACGACATAGGTGTTCCGCATTGTGACTGCAGATTTTGCGTTTCGCGTCCACCTTTGTCGTGCGGGGGAGTATTGGAGATATCTTGGTGAGCAAGGCGAACCAAGTATTGTGGGCCATTGAAGCCCGTTTATGAAGTGAAGCCCGTGAAGCCACATGGAAGAATATTCTAGAGAAATCCTATTGTGATAAGGATTAGGAAGATTTACATTATTTGGTGTTATCATTATGTTAATGTTAACCCTATATATATGGGTCTTATTCTCTTGTATCAATAACACAATTCAATAATATATTTACCCTTCTATAATATTTGTCATGGTATCAGAGACTTCGATCTTTGGTGACAGAAATTAAAGCTTCCGCATAATGATGGTAGAAGAAGAGTCCGACGATGATGATCCGGACGTAGTTTGTGTTCTTGCTGCGTTACAAAAAGTTTTCTTAATTTCCTTTTCTTTTTTTTAAGTTGGTTTTTATATTTTATTAGTAATACGTGGTTTTTTGGTTTTATTGCTGATTTTCTTTTATTTTATTTGTTTGATACAAGACTTGAGAGTTATTAAGATAATCTTTTGATTAAGGGTTGTGGTTTTCATGGGTTTATTAGTTTATTTTTTGAGATTGATTCTTAAGTTTAGAATTTCTCAAATTTTTTTTTAGTTTCTCCTATTACGGGGGAGTTTGGTTATGGTTATGAGTTTAGGGATTTTATTGGAGCGCTCATGTTTTTAGGTCATTTATCTTTAGTCCAATTTATGGGCTGTCCGCGACAAGGACGATTATTTGTGGAATTGCAGGATTTTGCTTCCACGGGATGTTATTATTCCCTTTCTTTCAAGACCAAAGACGAGCATGTTCCATCCCTATTGACTTGTATTGCCATCCTCGACATGATTGTCCACGACATAGGTGTTCCGCATTGTGACTGCAGATTTTGCGTTTCGCGTCCACCTTTGTCGTGCGGGGGAGTATTGGAGATATCTTGGTGAGCAAGGCGAACCAAGTATTGTGGGCCATTGAAGCCCGTTTATGAAGTGAAGCCCGTGAAGCCACATGGAAGAATATTCTAGAGAAATCCTATTGTGATAAGGATTAGGAAGATTTACATTATTTGGTGTTATCATTATGTTAATGTTAACCTATATATATGGGTCTTATTCTCTTGTATCAATAACACAATTCAATAATATATTTACCCTTCTATAATATTTGTCATGGTATATTATTGAATTGTTTTGTTGATAAAAGAGAATAAGACCCATATATATAGGGTTAACATTGACATAATGATAACACTAAATAATGTAAATCTTCCTAATCCTTATCACAATAGGATTTCTCTAGAATATTCTTCCATGTGGCTTCACGGGCTTCACTTCATAAACGGGCTTCAATGGCCCACAATACTTGGTTTGCCTTGCTCACCAAGATATCTCCAATAATCCAGCTCGGCCGCGGCCGCTGCCACTTCGGCCAACATATCTAGCGGAGTCTGGTTAGGGTTAGGGGTCTGCATTGCTACAGATCGTTCGACGAGAAATTTCATTAAGATCAAGGAGAGTACTGCTATCTCAATCGCCAAAAGGAACATGTATATATAACAAAGATTAGATTAGCATAGAGTTACGTAACGAGAAGAGAGGATCAAACTGCCAAAATATATAGATTATTATTATTTGACCTTTTTAATTAGTTCCTTTTCCTGATCGGACAATGATAAACTAATCCCTACTTCTCTTTGGTTCCTTTTTAAATCTGTATTGTACAATCTGTAATTTTGTTGGTTGTTCTTAGTTTATTTCTATCGGTTAAATACGTGTGCATAATATAGGGCCTTGTATGTCAAGCTTAAATTAATCATTTTATGATTTTTATCATTCTTTAAAGAAAACAAAAAAGCCCACTATCACTTCCGTACTATACCCAAAGAAAACAAAAATACAGTATGGTTCCTTTACGAATTATTTGTTCTACGAACGACATCCCAAATCCCAATTAACAAAACTGGGGTTTCTACAGGGTTTATTAACGGTTGAAGTTTGAGCTGGGAAAGACGAAGCACAAGCAGAAACAGTTTTCCAATTCAGTGCCAAAATTCAAGCTTCAGATTGTTTCCGTCACTACTTCAGGTCTGTGGAACTGAATCAAAACTATTTTCTGTTACTTCTTTTCGTTGTCCCTATTTCGAATTATCAATACATCGATTCCTCTCGCGAACCGTTTTCTTTAATTATTTTCCCTTATCCTCTGTCGATGTTGGTTTCTAGTTCTGGGAATAACACATAGAAACCTCGTTGTGTGATTGATTTTCCTTCATTTTGGTTGGAAATTTTGTTACAGAGGAATGATTCTCCCATATTCGACACAATTCACTTGCCCTGTTAAAGAGAATGGATTCAGCTCTTCCTCACTACTCTCCGCCGTTTCTGCTTCTTCCCATTGCAAAAGGAATCGTTTTGAGGTCACTTCGTTGAGATATGACTGTTTCGCTTCCGTGAAGATTGCCTCCTCGGTTAGTTTTCCGATGACCTAATTCTCTACCTTTGATTACATAATTGGGCTCAATTTGAAACCTTTTTCGCTCCCACGTATGGTTAGAAGAGGAATGCTATGAGGTCGAGAAGAAATGTGAAAGCTTTTGGGTTGGTTGATAAACTTGGGAAGAAGATATGGAGAGAAGAAGAAGAAAGTGACAGTGACAGTGAAGATGAGGTCAAAAAAGACACCTCGAGCAAAAGGGGAGACGAGAAAGCAGGTCTGGATGATCCAGAAGAGAGACGAGAATGGAGGAAGAAGATAAGAGAGGTGATTGACAAACATCCTGATATCGAAGAGGAAGAGATTGACCTTGTTGAGAAGAGGAGGAAGATGCAGAAGCTTCTTGCTGATTACCCACTTGTTGTGAACGAGGAGGATCCTAACTGGCCTGAAGATGCTGATGGTTGGGGGTTTAGCTTCAATCAGTTCTTCAATAAGATAACTATCAAGAACGAAAAGAAAGACGATGATGATGATGACGAAGATGATGATGGTGAGAAGGAGGTTGTGTGGCAAGATGATAACTACATACGCCCGATTAAAGATCTCACCACTGCTGAATGGGAGGAGGCGGTGTTCAAAGATATCAGTCCTCTCATGGTTTTTGTTCACAACCGCTACAAAAGGTCGGTGGTCACAGTTTGTTTTTACTGCTAGTGGTCTCTTTGATTGCCTCATGTTCATATACTTGTGTCTGCCAAAATTCATGACTGCTTTGCTTGTTACATTGCCACACATTGAGGACTGTTTCTGCTATTTGATTGATTGGTTTTGATGCTATTATGTTTATGGATTCAACTCACTTTAATGGTTAGAAGTTTCAACCTTTCTTGTTGCTGTAGACAGATCTGGCCTTCTCTTCTTTCTTGTTTTGTTGTTGAAATGTGATGTGTGTATGTATTTATTTTAGGCCAAAAGAGAATGAAAGATTCAGGGAAGAGATAGAGAAGGCGGTGCAAGTAATATGGAACTGTGGACTTCCTTCACCAAGAGTAAGTTTGAACATCTCTTTACCATTTCTAAAAACCATTCTTTGGATCTTGCTGTATGTTTTTGGTATGTGCTTTAATCCTCTTGTGTCAATTATTACTTCCAGTGTGTTGCTGTTGATGCTGTGGTTGAGACAGATTTGGTATCTGCTCTGAAAGTATCTGCGTTCCCAGAGATCATCTTCACTAAAGCCGGAAAGATACTATACCGTGAGAAAGGTAACGTCTTCGAAACCTGATTAGTCGTTTAAATACTGAAATCTCCAACCTTTGTGTTGAACTGAGAAGAGTTTAACATAATTTTCAGGGACTAGAACAGCAGATGAGCTCTCAAAAATCATGGCTTATTTCTATTATGGAGCTGCAAAGCCACCTTGTTTGAATGGTATCGATAGTTCTCAAGAACAGATTCCTTCAGTCGATGTAAGTGTCGATTAAGTATAGGCCTTTTGTGATTATGTAAAGTAGTTTCTTTCTCCAAGTCTGAAGAATGTATGAAACTGAAGAAGAAGTAAATCAATCTTTTTGAATTTGAATTTTCTTCTCAAATTGCTATTTATAGAAGAATTGTGAGACTTTGCGTCCGTAAACACTTATCACCATGTTTCTCTCTCATTGCGACGTGCTCTCTTCTCCATTTCTCTCTCGCTCTCTCACAATCTCCAACCATCTCGCATTCCCATTTCCATGGTTTGGACTCGTCACGATTTCCAAATTCCTTTCATTTGGCGAGTTTCTTTTCATCTTCCTCCTCTTCTTCCATGAATTCGGTTACTATAGAGCCAGATGAGCGAGAGGCGTTGGCATCACTGGTTCCGGCTCATCCACCGCCGCGTAAGACACATTCCTACGTTGAGCAAAACGAGCAGAAGCCGCATCACCCGATCCGCAAGTACAGCCTTGACGAAGGCTCTAGATCCGTGACGTCAGATTCCGAACCTGTTTATTTCGATTCCTCCGACGGCGAGTTCTCCACCGAAAACGTCGTCACCAACAATGGCAGAACCGGTGGAGACAGAGGCAACGGGGAGGCCACGCCTCCGTCGAAACCAGCATCGCAGCAAGGTGAGAATGACGGCCTCGGAAGAGGAGAGGACAATGTCGAGTCCCTTCCGGAATTCATGGGCGCGGGAGGTGGCGTCGACGTCTTCAAGGTCCCGGTGCGTGCTGCGGTGAATCCCGGACGGCCGCCGTGTCTTGAGCTCCGGCCGCATCCGTTGAGGGAGACACAGACGGGGAAGTTTCTGAGAAACATTGCTTGTACAGAAAGCCAGCTATGGGCGGGACAGGAGAACGGCGTGAGGTACTGGAACTTGGAGGAAGCATACGAGGTCGGTTGTGGCGTCGCCGGGCAGGCACGGCGAGGGGATGAGGATACAGCGCCGTTTCATGAATCTGTTACAATCTCGCCTACCTTGTGTATGATGGTTGACCACGGCAATAGGCTTGTGTGGAGCGGTCACAAGGATGGCAAAATCAGGGCTTGGAAAATGTGTCAGCCGGGTACTAGTAGTGCGGATGACTCAAAGCCTTTCAAGGAACGTCTCTCTTGGCAAGCTCATCGTGGTCCTGTGAATTACATTGTCATGAGCTCTTATGGTTAGTGTTTATATGATTCTTGAGAGTTAATCTAGTTTCTATTTGGATTCACAAATCTTTTGTTGGTTTTCGATCTTGAATGTGATGCAGGTGATATGTGGTCATGTTCTGACGCCGGCGTGATAAAAGTATGGACTTTAGATTCTTTAGAGAAGTCTCTTGTGCTGAAACCGGAGGAGAAGCATATGGCTGCATTGTTAGTGGAGAGGTCTGGTATTGACCTGAGAAGCCAAGTTACAGTCAATGGTACATGCAGCATATCGTCTTCAGATGTGAAGTTTTTGTTAGCTGATACAGTGAGAGCTAAAGTGTGGGTTGTGCAGCATCTCTCCTTCTCAATTTGGTATGCTTTTGATTCTGTAATATTTGGAACTTTTTGTCTGTTGTGGTTTTATTTGAATCATTTCAAGAGGAGATGTATCTGTGCAGGTGTGCTCAGAATAAAGAACTTCTGAAAGTTTTCAATATTGATGGGCAAGTTGAAAACCGAGTGGACATGCCAGCTACGCAAGGTCAGCAGGCTGAAGAAACGAAAGTGAAGTTCTTCTCCACGGCGAAAAAGGAAAAACCGCAGGGGTTTCTTCAAAGATCGCGCCACGCCATAATGGGAGCTGCAGGAGCTGTTCGCAGAGCTGCTACTAGAAGCACAGGAGCTTTTGCAGAAGATCCTAGGAAAGTAGAAGCTATTGCCATAGCGGCAGATGGATCAATTTGGACTGGAAGCATGAACGGCGTGATTGCTCAGTGGGACGGGAATGGAAACCGGTTGAGGGACACGAACCATCATCAGCAGGCTGTTTTGTGCTTTTGCACTTTTGGTGATCGGATATATGTTGGTTATGCAAGTGGTTACATCCAGATTATGGATCTTGGTGGGAAGCTGATTGCAAGCTGGGTTTCACACAATGAGCCTGTGATAAAGCTAGCTGCAGGTGGTGGTTTCATTTTTAGCTTAGCCACTCATGGTGGTGTAAGAGGATGGTATGTGACATCTCCAGGACCTCTAGACAGTGTAATCCGAACAGAATTGACTCAAAAGGAGATTACGTATGCACGACAAGACAGTGTTAAGATCTTGGTTGGTACCTGGAATGTTGGTGAAGGACGGGCTACACGGGGAGCGCTTACGTCCTGGCTAGGTTCTGCTGTTTCAGATGTTGGCATCGTCGCTGTTGGGTTGCAAGAAGTGGATATGGGAGCGGGTTTCCTTGCCATGTCTACTGCTAAAGAAACGGTAACTCCTTTTGTTTTAGCTCGTTCTACTTCTTACTTTGCCTCTGTTTGTTTGCTGTTGTCTAATGCAATGTAGGCACAACTGAATGATCCATACCAAGTTTTTTCTTACTTGAATGATTGTGGAACTAGTAGATTTGAGTCTTAACATATCTTTCAGTTGACAGAGACATGTGGACGGTTTATGGCCCTTTTTGGTTGATAAATCTTTGGTTTCATCTTCACATATTGATAAAAATAGTATTTTCTCTTTTCAAGATCTCACTAGTCCTTGCCCTGATCATTACCACGGAAACCAAAGACCAGTCCAGTACTACCTAGGAATACTAGTTGTTGTGAAAAACTTCTTCACTTGCATGCTTGCAAAAAAAGTTGCATGTGGATTCATATGCTTAATACCAGGATTTTCCCACATTGTCTGCATATTCTAAAGTCAGATCATATTTGGGTTTCCGGTTGTAGGTAGGGGTTGAAGGAAGTGCTGTGGGTCAATGGTGGCTTGATGCAATTGGAACTGCGGTGGATGAGAGAAATACTTTCGAACGTATGGGTTCAAGGCAGTTAGCAGGACTGCTAATATGTCTCTGGTAGGCCAAAGTGTTTACTTTGTTGTCTTTTTTATTGCAGGTGTATCAATCAACAGTCGTTTTTCTTTCCTTCAAATCACCTAAAATTCTTTCACTTATCATATTTCCAGATTAACCCATTTTGTGTCACCTCTTGTCTTGTATACTTTCTGCTTAGGGTGAGAAGAGATATTAGAACACATGTCGGAGATCTTGATGTCGCAGCAGTTCCATGTGGATTTGGCCGTGCCATTGGTAACAAGGTCTGTCTTTACTTGCTTCTGTCTAAAACAAAATCAATGAGTCTGATGTTTGATCCAATAGTCCTTTTTTAAATGCTTATCTTGGTAACCTGCAATGAGGATGAATCCACATTGTTGATCAGATGAATTAATGTTCCTTCATCGTCAAAAACAGGGAGGAGTGGGCTTGAGAATCAGAGTCTATGACCGGATTATGTGCTTTGTGAACTGTCACTTGGCTGCTCACTTGGAGGCAGTTACTCGGAGAAACGCGGATTTCAATCATATATATCGGTCGATGGTCTTCTCCAAAGGACAGAGTTTATACACTGTCGCAGCTGGTATAGTGCCATACCTTTTTTTGTCTTGCTCACTTGGCTTCTCCATTTACTTATTTTGGTTGCTTTATTCTTCTGACTTGCCATGAGCCCTCTCTCTCTTGCAGCTAATGCTTCAACGTCTGCTCAAGCGCTAAAGAACAACCCTGTATGAACTTAAAACAAATTTTGGATTCACAATCTCGGTCTCGAGCTTCGGTTGTTTGTCCTTTCCTTTCTAATGTTACTGTTCTGTTTTTCTCTATTTTTCAGAATGCAAACATCACCACTGAAGAAGAGAAGTCTGATTTAGCAGCTGCAGATCTGGTTGCATTTTTCGGTGACTTCAACTATAGGTTGTTTGGTATAACCTACGACGAAGCAAGGGACTTCATTTCACACCGATCTTTTGATTGGCTCAGAGAGAAAGACCAACTTAGGCAAGAGATGAATGAAGGAAGAGTGTTCCAAGGAATGCGTGAGGCGTTAATCACCTTCCCTCCGACTTACAAATTCGAAAAGAACAAGCCTGGTCTAGGAGGTAAATAAGATTGATTTGAAAACTCTCTGCAAATTTCTCCTGGTTACTCTTCCTTTAGTCTTACAAGAACTTATCAAGTGTGTTTCTATCTCCAGGGTATGATTCAGGGGAGAAAAAGCGAATACCCGCGTGGTGTGACAGAGTTATATACAGAGACAATCAATCAAGCCAAAATTCTGAGTGCAGTTTGAAGTGCCCTGTAGTTGCATCGACTGTAATGTAATGTTCCATCATGCGATCTCATGATCGTCTCTCTCTCTCTCTTTCCTTTCACGTTCGGTCTTTCTCACAACACTATGAATTTGTGTTTACAGGTACGAAGCTTGTATGGATGTGACTGAGAGTGATCATAAACCTGTGCGCTGCAAAATGCATGCTAACATTGCTCACACCGATAAATCTGTGCGAAGACAGGAGATGGGGAAAATAGTAAAGTCCAATGAGAAGCTCAGGGCCATGTTCGAGGAACTGAAACTGGTTCCAGAAACATCAGTGAGTACCAACAGCATTCTTCTTCAGAGTCAGGACACATTCATCTTTACAATCACAAACAAGTCAAACTCGAGCAGAGCCATCTTCAACATCCGCTGTAAGGGTCAGACTATCGGTAGAGATGATAAAGATGATCCTGATAATCTTTCAAGAGGCACCTTTGGTCTCCCTCGCTGGCTCGAGGTTTTTATTCTCCTCTATTCACCATTTTTCTCATCGCAAGATTTAATCATTAAAACAAAAACATCTTTCTCTAGGTTTCTCCAGGAGCTGGGATGATCAAAGCAGATGCTTCAGTGCAAGTGAAGGTTCATCACGAAGACTTTAACACCTCAGAGGAGTCATTTGATGCCCCCCAACAAAACTTATCGTGTGAAGCCACTTGTGACAAAGAAGTGACTCTGATTATAAACATCCAAGGAAGCTGCTCGACCAAAACTACAAGCCACTCTATCAAAGTCCGCCACTGCTTCTCAGCTGCCAAAACACTTAGTCTCGCTTATTCAAAACCCACCAACCAGAAACAAGAGGGTTCCACTCGTTACCAGCCAGAAACTTACCGCGGTGGAAGCACCAGACGTGGTTGATGATGATCCTGTTACTTAACATCACACTATAGCTAGATCTTAGGAGCAGACGAAGTGTGAAGCCACTCTAAAGAAATGCATCCAGAGTCAAGACCCAGTAGGAGATCAAGTTTCTAATGTTCACAACTAAGATTCGGGTTTGTTCAGGTTATAGTTTCTCCATTGTCATTCTTTGATTCATTGGATATAAGAAAAATGTAGATTACTTTGATACTTCAACGAACTCACTACAGATCTGTTCTTCTACTGAAGAAACTCTAAAAATATTGAATAGCAATGGTTTACAGGTACAAAATACAAGTATATATTGGTTATTCTTACATGAGGAGATCTTGTTCCCAAATTCTCTACAAACTGGGCTGTTGTTGTTCAGAGTGCATACATTCTCTTGTTGTATTCACCATTTAGAATCTCTGAATCAGAAGGCATACGAGACATAGAGAAAGACTGAGACTTGCTTCTCTCTTTCCTTATGCTCCTCAATTTTGATTCCTCCATCCGGTGCATGACCACGCAATAGCACATGGCACCAATCGTGGTCAACATAATTGTGCCACCAATAACAGTCGCACACACAGCTAACCACATCTCCTCTTTGCCCACAACAATGTAAGAGAGAGAAACAAATGCAATGGATATGAACAAACAAGCACACCACATTAGCTTGTTGATCACAAACACAAGCTTCTTTTTCGCCTTCTGCTCAATCACAACAACTGAAGTCTGCACCACAACAACAGCTAAAGATATAAACAGTGCCAAGCTGTCAAAGACGAAGAAGACCAGAAACGGTGCTTTGTTTGCTATATGAGCTTGTCCTAACAACACTCCTTTCGATGGGTCTTCTTCATATTGACCCGGTATGGTGAATATGGCTGCGAAAGCCACCGTGGCAATAAGCACAGCCACGATGGTTGCTGAGTTTATAGCGTTGTTTAGACCGTTAATGTGAAGCTTCTTGAGTCTTTTTGCAATCTTCTGGACTCTCACACCGGTTTGTCTGGATTGCTGAAGCTGAGATTGTACCTCATGTTTTATGTCACTGACCGTTTGCTTCAGTTGCTTAGCTGGGTTTTGAGGCTTTCCGAGACCTTTAGCTGTAGCTGCTCCTGCTTCTTTTAGAACCGACACAAGCTCTGCGTTTCCTATCTTCTCAGCGATATCTAGTGGCGTATCTCCAGCTTTGTTTATAGGATTGAGGTTTATGCCTTCAAAAGATACCAAACACCGCACTATCTGCAGAGAAGTCAAATAACAATTTTACATGAGAACTAAGTTTGATCAATCAAGTAAAGTAAAGTAAAGAAGACTACCTTAGTACGACCCTTGTTTGTGGCAATGTGCAATGGCGTATTTCCTTTGTTATCTTCAACACTCAATACAGCAACATCAGGTTTCACCAACTCTTCAACGATCCCATCATTTTGACCTTTTACAGCCATGTGAAGAGCAGTCTGCCCCTTTTTGTCGGTTCGAAATCCAATGCTTGGATCGTTACCAATCAAAGATTTAACAACTTCCACATGACCCATCCTTGCTGCAGAGTGAAGCGCAGTTTTACCATTGTTCTTAGCTATCTTGGCCAAATTAGAGTCCGTCTCCAAAAGAAGATTCACCACATCAATATGTCCTTGTGTCGCAGCCGTGTGTAACGCTGTTGTACACGATAAGTCCGTTGTCATTGCCAAATTAGGGAATGTATCCAACAGTTTCTTCAACACCTCTGAAAAATAAGAAGAGCCAAATTAGAGAATTATAGTCCATGGATGGTTTATATGAGAAAATTGAAAGAAAGTATAGATCTTTATACCGAGATGGCCTTGTTTAGCTGCGACATGGAACGGATCAAACCCATTTCTAGCAGCGATCGAAGCAGTTTCAAGATCCATATGCTTCAACATCTCCTCAACAACAACTGATTGACCATTCTCTGCTGCAGTATACAGAGGAGTCTCTCCTTCAAGATTCTGCTTTGATAACAAATCTCTCAACTCTTCATCGCAACAGCCTCGAATCAGCTCTTTAACCTTACTCAAGTTCCCTGTTCGAGCTGCGATATGAAGAGTCGAGTCTCCTCTCTTACCTGGTGACTCACTCTTCTTCCTCCTCTCGCCAATGAAACTCAACTGCCTCTCCATCACCACACGGAAGCTTTTCTGCTTCTCCAAAAACCCACCACGGAAACTCTTCTGCCTCTCCATTGATGCTTTACCAAAACTCGGAAGCTTCTCCAGAACTCCACGTTTCTGATTATTCTCTACAGTCGTCGTCACGCCTCGGAAACTCGGTTGCTTCTCCATTGATCTTCTGAGTCTGCTTGGCTGATGATTCTCTGCATTCACTCCTTGGAAACTAACTTGTTTCTCTAAAGCTCTCGCCTTTCTCGGTTGATTGTTCTCCACACATCGGAAACTTTGTTGTTTCTCCAATGATTTCGTCTGTTTCTCTGGCTGGGTTTGGTTTATTATACCATCGAAGCTCTGCTGCTTCTCTGAAATCGGACTACTCTGCTTCTCCTCCATTATAGTCATACTTTTACTTCAATTTATCGTCGTTATCAACAAAATTACCTAAACCCAGATGATTTCTTATCCCCAATCTAACAAAAACCCCTAATCTAATTCACAGAAATCTAGAGAAAACAATTTCTACCCAAATCTAGAAGAAAAAAACAAGCTTTTGATGATATCAGCTCGAAGAATCCATGTTTACCAAGAAAGTAAAAAAGACGAACTTTACGGGAAATGAATTGGAGAGTAGACACCAGAATTCATGTGAAAATCGCCCACAAGCTGTGGAGAGACTTGGAGCTGACGATGATCGGAAAAGAAAAAAATCAGATTGAAACTGATTTAGTACCTCCAGGAGACAAAAAAGGAAAACATTTCGCAAACAATCTGTGAAACCCAAAAAGCTCGAATTTCAATAAGAGTTTGCAATAAAGCTTTAGCCTTTTTGTGCTCTCGCCACGTGTATGGAGTTTTGTTCCTAAGCCGTAGATGAAGAAGATGCGAAGAGAGAGAGAGAGAGAGAGAGAGAGAGAGAATGTCAGAAGCAGAATATCAGCATCATCAATTCATCATCAATAGAGGAACTTTAGCAGCCACACTTCTTTGTTGTTAGTGCCTTCTTTTAACACGCTTTAATTTCACCTCACTCTAAGAGATAATAATGTTTGTTTGTTTTTTTTTTTTTTTTTTGAGGACGTTTTAAGTTTCTTTTGTTTTGGACGAAGACTTAAAAGGTCAAAAGACTCGATCGTTTATAACAAACGGGTTGGTTTGATGGAGATCTCTCTAGTGACGACTATAGTTTATTGACTCTTGTATTGATGGTGCCATGTCACCTAATCAGAGTTAAAAGTCCACAAGAAGGTAAAAGACGACACAAGCTTGTCATATTTACTCTAGTTGAATGCTGTGTAAAAAAGTCAAGTCAGTGTCATTTATAGTTAGTTTTCCTTTTAGTCTATCATTTTGTTAGTTAATTAACGATTTTCTCTCATCGTTTTGTACGTTTGTGTAATTATCTAACCAAAGAATTGTCTCGTACACGACAAAACTAAGGACGGCTATAAAAACTTTCATTTCTAACAAAAACTTTCACATTTCTCATCAAATTATAATTGCTTGTCCCCAAATGATTCTATATAACTAGTTCGACCGGATATTCTAGTTTGTTTTTGTTTAACATTCTTAGCTTAATTAGTTGTGTATGTTACTATAATAGTCTAATACTATCCTCATACTTAGGCATGGCGCTGTTAAACAATCGTTACAGAAATGATTAATCTTATGTTATTATAAATAATGTTCTACCATATTATTTTACATCTCATAAAAGACCAGGAAATATAAAACAATAAATTTCTTCCGTTGAGAAAGTAATAAACAAATGATCGGTCCTTTCAGTGTGACCGATAGTTTTGTAGTCACAGGAGACAAATAAAATAAACGTATAACCATAACTTAAAAAAGCACGTGGTCGGCTCGTTAATCATTGTGCTTTTGTAGTTGCAATAATCGAACTTTTTTTACATACGCGTGCATTATCGAAACGAAATGAAAAAAACAACCTTTTCTTCCTTTTTCGAATCTAAGGTTTGATATCACATGTCATCAAATGATCCAGAGCTTACCCGATTAAAGTAGAATAAATAATCACGAAAAGTGGACAGATATTTGAAAGTATATATTAAGAGAAGTGATATTAATTCGTGGCAACAATGATGAGGATTCAAGATATTAGGATCTTTGGCAAAAACATAAATTTTCAAGCTTAAGGGTCTGGAATCGATGTTTCTCTTCCAGAATATTTGAGTTAAACTGTGAATTGTGTCTATTTTGTTGATTGTTGGCTTTGTCTGTCTTTGTTTTAACTTGCTTTTGTTTGTAATTTTCAGTATTTCTGCCTTCTTAGTTTTTCTTAACTTCTGTCACAAATCAAAAATTTGGTAATAAATCTTAACATTAAAAAAAAAAGTAGTGATATTTGTTGACGTGGTTGGTTAAAAGGGTAACAAGTGATTAAAACCTGAATTTTATATTTACTCTCAGTAAACCAATTTATGGTAAGTTTCTACAATAAAAGGTAGTGAACTTTACCATAAAAGAAAACTACTGATCCCATGAATTTTTACCATGGAGGATAGTAAGTTGTATACATAGTAAGTTGTGGAGGATCTTATAAGCATAATATGATTGCGTGGAAGAGAAATCTGAACATCCTATGTATGAAGACAACTACATAACACAAGTATAGTCCATGAAGTATACTAAAATTTAGTGTGAATGTGTGCATAATATCGCAAGAGGAAGCTGAGAAAATCTTACCAAGTAGATTGTTTTCGAATTCCCACTAATGGAAAACGTAAGAATAAAAAGATAGTACCTATTCTATAGCTAGACGGAACCAGATTGATGTAGGCTTTGATTGGTAACCATAAATGAAGATAGTATAAATTATAATGCTTGATGTGTTACCAATCAAATGAGTATTACATATGTGATAGTACAAAAACATGTTACAAAAAAAGTAGCATTACAACAAAATAGTGATGTTACAAAGGCAAAACAATGGTACAATTGTAAAGCTACTTTTAGTGGTATTACAGAAAAAATAAGAGTGGTACAAAACATTGTTTTTTTTTACTAAAGTTTATCATGATGTGATGTGGTTTTTTATGCATTAATATGACTTTGTTAACTTAAATTTAATGAAATTCTCCACACTTGGACCAATGAATACTTCAGAATAATTTTACATAAACTATTGTAATACTAATTTTAGTAGTCCTATAAAATCTAACATACTTACAAAATAGAAAATGTTTTATTGAATCTCAATAACAAATCTCATAGTTTATAAACAAATAATTGGAAGAAAAAAACTTTGGATATAATAATTCATTTATCTCTTGACAAGTAATTAAGAAGGTAAAAAAATTCAAACAATACAAATTATCACATTTTTCTTGAAATATAAAATAACTTTTCTTCAAAAAAAGTTTGTAACTATTATTTACTATTTTTTACTAAGTAAATGTGTTGGTAAACAAAAAATGTAAAATACTTTATATTATATTTTTAGACTATATATGAATTTCAGTATTTAAGTTATTTTTTATTTTTAGTCATTTAACATATGTTTATAAATTGATTTCTATTTTTTATAATAAAATACTCTATTCATAATGTTACAATGTTACCAATCGGAATTTAGTTACGTACTATTATTTTGTACTATCTCTATTTATACTGCTATATTTCGTACCACTGTTTTTCGTACCACTATCTTTTGTACCACTGAAAATTCTGTAACACACCACTATTCACAACGTCACCAATAGGACTCGTAGTGTTTGAAAATGAATTGGTCTTATTCGGACAAAAATGTAGGAATCTATTTTGACTAGTATTTAGAGAAAACGCAAATATGTGTTCCATATTTGTGAGACAGATTAGTAGGTACCACGTTTTACTTTTGGTTTAGTTTCTAAATTCGAGAACTGATACATGCCTACTTTCTGTTAGGAAACTACTAAAGACGTGTGATGCAGATGTGAGTTTCAAAACACATGAATACTCTAAAATTATATACCAGGAAATCAGCGAGGAATCGACGATGTTTATAGCATATGCTACTCATACTACTGTATAATGTTTTCTGAAGTTACAGATATTTAAAAAGTAAATAATTCAAGTTAAAAATAAAGTTATAAAAAAGTATGGTACTTTTTCTGCAAGCGAATCAACTTTCTAGAAGATAAGTTATGGGGTGACAGACATTTTTTAGGTACACGTCCGGCTCAGTCAACGCTTACTTAGTTTGACTTTGACTCCATAATATTTTACAAAGTCCATTTTGTGTTCGGTCTTTAGTCCTTTCAGAGATCATCATACCAGTAACTTTATGTCTATGATAATGAAAGTGTGATTTGTTCATCACTGTAGAAGATAAACTACTGGAAAAAAAAAAAGACGAGCGAAGAATTAACCCTACAACTTTTTTCTCACAAAAAAAAAAAAAGAACAACTGAAATGAAGCCACAAAAAAATCCAAAATCTTCATATCTACACAGTGCATATAGTCTATCAGGCTCTGTCTTTAGGGGTGGCTCATAAGAAAGTGTGATGAAACTTTCACCTTCAAAAGCTTTTTGCTGTTCCATGGATACAGGCATTGTTCAACGGGTTAACCGGATAAAGGAAAAGAGTAACCACGAAGATACTTGGAGTCCACTCCCGATTCACGAGCCAATGCCACACGCCCTGTTCTTGCAACCTGTGATAAAAGTAGCATTGCTTCTCAAAACTGTTTCTAGTTCTAAAGCACAAACAGAAGACGTATAATTATCACTAGAAGATGAAGGTAGATTGCAAAACCAACCTCGCATATACCATACGGCTCTAACAACCTTTGTAGAGCAACCATCTTGTCTAGATCCCCAGTAAGCTGTATCCACAACCAACAAATTTCAGCACCAAATCCAACAACAAAAAATTAAGGAAAAAGGGATTTAAGGTCGGAAATCCAAGTTTGCTTCATATATTCGGTCATACGGAACTCTGATTATGACAAACAATTTAAAGATCTATGGAAAGATGTGAAACTTCAAAGATCTCCAAGAATTTCTCATCTGATATGCAATTACACCTCAAACAGAAATCTGGTTCATGATAAATGTATTTTACCTGCAAAGTAATTGTATGATCGGATACATCAACAGCTATTGCCCTGAAAATACTAGCAATGTCCAGAACATCTCTTCTCGCGGCAGCGTTCACAGCAATCTTAATCAGCATCAGTTCTCTTTCAGCAAATGGGAAATAAGTAAGATCATGGACCTGCAGAAATATTCAAAATTTAATTCTCAGAGTTCTGTTTCATCAAGCTTGTTCAATTTTTGACTGATAAAAATAAAGGTTCCATGCGAATCGGAGAAGATGTAGAAAAGTCCAAAAAGAGTTCACAAGTCAGTTGCTTTTTTGTAATCCTACCTCATGCACATCTACCAGTTTATAAAGCTGCTGCACCAATTTGCTGACTGATTCATCTGTTGCAGGAATAACTGTTGTAATGCGTGAAATGCCCTTGGTTTCAGCATGTCCTACAGCCAAGCTCTAAACCAAAAAGAAGATCAGTCAGTGTATCAGTAAACCCCAAGAAGAGTATGTGTGTGTGTGCAAGAGATAAAGACTATGCCTGAATATTGTATCCCCTTCGAGCGAAAACGCCAGTAACAATATTAAGGACTCCTGGAGCATCGTTTACAAGCAAAGATAGAGTATGTGACCGTAGTCCACTCGTCTGACAGATCATAAAATAAGCATTGTTACGAATGACACAAAATAATATAGAAATAACTTTCGGCTATGTAAGTAAACAGATACAATCTCCAGAACCATCGTACACATCCATGGACCATGGATTTATGTACCTAATTCGATCACACCTAACCATGTCTACCTTTCGATATAAGAAAATAATATGTCCGTACGATATTAACAGTAATGACTATTGAAACTCGGACTTCTAGACAGATTAACTGGACAGATAAGTGGAACTCTTCTAATGCAAACCACATTCGGAATCCCAACCATGGATGCTTCAAAGTTTAAACCACTATTTAGCAAATTCATGGCATGCATACTTATGGCACTATCTTAACAAGTTATATATAGATTATAGCTAGAACCAATTCTCTTACATCTTCTTCCGTGAGAAGTCCCCAATGAGCGTCGAGAACACGATGTACCATGAGGTCAGAATTTTGCTCAACAGGATAAACATCTCCCTACATTCAAGAGCAAAGCTAACTTTTAACACTGGACGATCAGAAAATTTATGAAAAACTTTAGTGTGGCGAGAGCAAGAAAACAAAAGGGGACTAGAAACCTTAAATGTGCTTCAAGAATTTTGTCCTTTGTGAGAAGCACATTAGGTTTTAGTTTTTCAGCTATATGCAAGCATAATTTAATCTGTAGACTATCAAAGATTGTGCACTCCCCATTGTGGTGCCAGTTGATCCCGGCAGCCACCACATAAAAGAAAAACAAAAATAACACTGCCCTCTATCGTTCAAATTGACTTCATCAATCCACTAATCTCACACATTTTATGCAACCCATATATTTAAAATAAAAGTGAGGAGCTTCAAGCTGAAGTTAAGAGAAGGCTCGACTAAAACAAACAAAAGACAATGGAGAAATCTAAGGAGGAGAGAAGCACATACCCCTGCTGTTGTTTCAATTTGAGGGACCGTAGCTCCTTTTTTGCTACCTCGAAGAACACTCGCAGGTGCTTGCTCCTTGAGATCTGGATAAGATGCTGCTGAAAATCGCCAAAATGGAGCAGTAGCACCCATCTTTTCCCTTCTCAGTGCTATCTGTTATTTAAAAATTGTCATTCCATTTTCCCTAAATTAGTGAAAGTCCCCAAAGATCTATTCCTTTATGTAACTATTACAAACCTATATTAGAAAGCACAAACTGAATGATTAACAGAAGGCATGCAATCAAATTATTTCAAAAATTCACTACCTTTCCAGTCCTGGCAATCTCTCTGATCTGAAACTTTCTCAAATTTCTTTCTACAGCAATCATTTTCCCAGGATCTCCAGTTACCTGCAAAATCGCTTAAAATGAATATTAGAGAACTAAACTACTTAAATTAGAGAAACCAACAAAAACTATCCCCCAGAATCAAGGTAAAAAGAACAGTATCTGTAGTGTTTCTCTAGCTATCATAAACACTGAGCACTCCCATAGTATTCAGCACAGACAATAACATTCAGAATGCAGATTATTTTCATAATACAAACGAGGGTAGCAACCTGTTTAAAGAACTTTCTCGTTATATTAAGTTAGTAGACAGTCCAATTATGTTCACGAGTTGCACCATAAGTTTCAATAAACCTTAATACACACACATTAATTCAATATCCGAACCCAAAACAATGCATGCATGTGGATCAACATCAGTTTCTAAAGGCAACGAATGTCCAACTACTAGATAGACATTTTCCAAATGAGACCACAAACAAAAATTGAAGTCCGAAACCCATAGGCTGTAGTGCGAAACAAATCTCAAGAACAGCACAAATCATAAGCAGTGTACCTCAATAGTCAGTGCATTTTCCGCAATATCTACAATCCGTGCTCTGAATGTGTCAACTAGCCACATGATCTGTAAATTCATTTGACAGAAGCTAGTCAAAATTAGAAAGAATATAAACGACACATCTGCACTGAATCAAAAGCAACCAGCAAGTACAGTAAACTCTAATTTCCCGTAGGCAATGAAGGAAGACTACCTCTGCCCTGGATTCTGGATGTGCATTCACTTTCACAAGCATCAGTTCACGCTCCACTTGCGGCTCACTTGAGATATCTTCAACCTGTTTAGCAAGTCGAGGTCAATTCAGGAAATGGAAACGGCATTCACAAATGTAATCTTCAACACAAACTTTCGGAGATGCCAAGTCAAATAGAAAGTTTGTTTAGTCCTAAGAAGTCCACTGAATTTAGAAAGCAATGACAAGCCAATCGACTGATGTGTAAAATATACTGCTGATGACACAATCATGATGCAGAAACTGACAAGTGCGAAGAAAATTTACAACCTTTAAAACATTAACGAGCTTCTGGAGTTGCTCGATGACCTGCTGAAGTACCCTTTCAGTTCCACAGACAACTATGGTGAAAAGAGCCTTGTCTCTGTTTAGGCCAACAGCAAGACTCTCAATATTGTATCCTCTCCTTGCAAATACTCCTGCAATCCTGTTAATCATTCCGCTTTCATCTCCAACAAATACTGAAATTGTGTGCTTCCTCACCCTGATTTAGCGTAAATAGAAAGCGTTAGTGGTAGTACAATGAAGTTACTCACATGGATAATGAAGTTAATTGTGTAAAGAAGCAATTGAAACCTGAAAAAACAGAGGATCATATATTGCAATCAAGCTCATCAATTAGAAAAATTTAAGCTCGGCATGCAGAATAATATGGCAGAAAAAGGGTGTCTCGATGGATTATGGAGTTCTATACAGCTCTCACAACATCAATCCAGATAATAGTGAGCAAAGCAAGGAGGAAAAACTGATCAATTCCAAAACATACTTGCATGAAAATGTTGATTTTCATAACTTTAAATGGAGATACTTAAATTTACACATCAAATCGGAATGAACAATCAGAAAACACACACAAACAAACAAAATTAAGTAAAGGAAACCCAGAGGAAACGAATTCAAAAATAATATTCACAGTACTGTACTTCGATTTTGGAGCTGCAGACGAAGCTTCGGAGAAAGATGCGTCAGATGTTTTCCCATCGACGCTTCTAACGAATCGCTCCATTCTCTTACCCATTTCATCGCCACGATTGGAAGATTTACCGGAGAGATACGAAATCTTCGTCGGGAACGACACCCGCGTCGAGGATACGAGAGCGGGAGACGAATCGGGACATGCAGATCTCAAGCAGCGAAGGGATGGCGAAACACTTGAAGAAACGGCCGCCATTGAAGAGAAGAGTCTACTGAAGAGGATTAGAAACGAAGACGACGGAATGAGAAACCAAAACCACTCACAAACTCTGTCAGTGCAAACGCAAACGTAAACGCGATACGGGAAGGTTCTATTTGTGGGGTTTAAATAAAGCCCAACAGGCCTCAACTAGATCAAGCCAACACGGCAACACGTCAGCGTTATCCACAATTTCGCTATTATGAAAAGTCTTAGGGTTAATCACGTAAATAACGAGAAGTTGAGTGTTCATTTGACAATTCAGCGAGCAAAATAATTTTATTACCGGTAAAGCCACCGAAATAAGTGGACTATCAAGAAGAGTCCATTTTTACGCGGGAGCTGCCAAACAATGATTGAAAGCAAAAGTCAAATCAGAGTCCATCGGAAACAGACGTCGCCAATAATATCTCTCTCAAGTTGATTAAAAATTAATTTTTAACTTTCTCGATAACCAACGAGCTTCAACCGGATCTCACATAATCCCCAGATCAATTTTTTTTCTTTTCTCTTCAATCTCTCAAAGAAAAATGTGATTATCCGTTGCTCAGCCTCAGAAGAAGACGAAAGAGGTGAAATAGAGTTGAAATCGAAGACCCGGAAAAAATGGCGAATCTCGCGGCGCAGCTGAAACGTGGAATCTCGAGACAGTTCTCAACCGGATCGTTTCGCCGGACGCTTAGCCGTCAGTTTACGCGTCAGGCTTCACACGATCCTCGCCGGAACAATATGCGATTCAGCTTCGGCCGGCAATCTTCTCTAGATCCAATTCGACGAGGTCCTGAAGGTTCTGGCGGTCCGCAGCTCGCCGTCCCCGACAACCTAGACGCCACTATGCAGCTCCTTTTCGTTGCCTGTAGAGGAGACGTCGAAGGTGTTCAGGATCTGCTTGACGAAGGAATCGACGTCAACAGCATCGATCTCGATGGTCGTACCGCTCTCCACATCGCCGCCTGTGAAGGCCACGTCGACGTTGTGAAGCTTCTCCTTACTAGAAAGGCCAACATTGATGCTCGTGATCGTTGGGGAAGCACGGTAATGTGATTTCTCAAAATTTCATTGCATTCTTTAGGTTCTATTTTGTGATTTTGGTTTGAAATTTTGGATTTGTTGTGTGGATAGGCAGCTGCTGATGCTAAGTACTATGGTAACATAGATGTTTACAACATTTTGAAAGCCCGTGGAGCTAAAGTTCCGGTATGCTTTTTTCATGGATCGAGCTCTGTTCTTTCTCATATATCTATCAATATGCGTTTAATTACATCATCGTTTTGGTTTTTAGAAAACAAAGAGGACACCGATGGTTGTAGCGAATCCTCGTGAAGTTCCTGAATACGAGTTAAATCCTCAAGAGCTTCAGGTCCGGAAGGTTGATGGTATCTCCAAGGTAAGAGCTCTCTGCTTCACTTTCTTGATAGAATGTCTTAGATTTCCAGTTGATTTCTGCTTCTAACAAATACTACATCACTTTTTCATTTTCCAGGGAATATATCAAGTGGCTAAATGGAATGGGACTAAGGTATCTGTAAAGATACTTGATAAGGATCTCTACAAGGATCATGAAACAATGTACGTTTACTCTTCTCTTTGATGAGTATCTGTCTAAGTTAACAAATAGGTCAAGCTATAGATAGTTGAAAAAATTTGTTATGCTCATACTGATGATGATATGAGCTGTATAAGATTATAACTCATATGCATTTCCTGTCCATTTTCTAGAATTTACTTGATCCCTGTTTGTTTTTTCATAAATTACGTTTGTTCTGCAATTTTATCATCTGAGTTATATGATTTACTCACAGAAATGCCTTCAAACACGAACTTACTTTATTCGAGAAGGTTCGTCATCCTAATGTTGTGCAATTTGTTGGAGCTGTTACTCAAAAGGTCCCCATGATGATTGTGTCTGAGTATCATCCTAAAGTAAGCTTCTTCCTCTATTTACTCCTAACAAGATATTTTCCTCATTAAGCAATGTTTGGATCCTAGGAAATAATTTTTCTGGCTTGGTGGTTACTTGCAGGGTGACCTCGGGAGCTATCTTCAAAAGAAAGGACGCCCTTCTCCAGCCAAAGTTCTAAGATTTGCCCTCGATATAGCCAGGTATGTGACTCTTCTGCAAGACTTTATTCAGATTACGGTAAAATTTTCTTCTGAGCAAATCATTTGGTTCTTCTCAGGGGAATGAATTATCTTCACGAGTGTAAACCAGAACCAGTAATCCACTGTGATCTAAAACCCAAGTAAGATTACTAAATAAAGAAGCATCTGCACGTTAAGTTTTTCAGTAACATATTTTTGGACCCGTTATCTAATTTTTGTAACTTCTTGTAAGGTGCCAGAAATATTATGCTCGATAGTGGAGGACATTTGAAGGTGGCAGGATTTGGATTGATAAGCTTTGCTAAGTTATCATCTGATAAATCAAAAATCCTTAATCATGGGGCACATATAGACCCTTCAAGTTAGTTCTAAATGCTTAATTCCTTATGGCTACCCGAAAGAATGATAAATTTCATGAGCCAATAGTTTAAAATATATGATTCTATACATTCGCAGATTACTGTATGGCACCTGAGGTTTACAAAGATGAAATATTTGACAGGAGTGCGGATTCATACTCTTTTGGTGTCGTATTGTATGAAGTAAGTACCTTATGGTCACTCTTCATCTTAAACACTCGTGACAATACTGCTTTTCTGCATTTCTTGATGGATGTATCTGGTTTGGGTTTTAATCCACTTCTCCTTTAGATGCTCTCTAAAACTCTGTTTCTCTAACAAATCTCATTGAAGCAAATCTTTAATTGAGTTTTATCTTAAAATCCATCAGATGATTGAAGGAGTACAACCTTTCCATCCTAATCCCCCAGAAGAGGCAGTGAAGCTAATGTGTTTGGAAGGAAGAAGACCTTCGTTTAAGTCCAAGTCCAAAAGTTGTCCCCAAGAGATGAGAGAGTAAGTGTACTGATATTTATCAACTTTATAACATAAATTTCTGAATTGTTTTTTACAGTAACATCACTTGCTTGGTCATTGATCCTTTACATAACTTCTTTCGGCTTATTGTTCAATTTTTCTCTAAACAGATTGATTGAGGAATGCTGGGATGCGGAAACTTTTGTTAGGCCGACATTCTCTGAGATCATAGTTCGATTAGACAGGATCTTTGTACACTGCGCAAAACAGGGGTGGTGGAAGGATACATTCAAATTTCCTTGGTAAAAAAGCTTTCTCTTCACAACTCTTTATCATTTATGTTTTGCATTAGTTTCATTCTTTTTTCTATCCTTAACGGACTAGAGCTAAGCTCTCACATATATTCAATGAGTTTGTTCTCAACCAAATGGATGATTTTACAGGAAATAGTACAAAAGACCGAGAGAGGTTTGACTCAGAAACAAGAGGAACTCAGCAATTCAAGAGCTCCCTTCTCATGTTTACACTAAAATCGGTACAAAGAAAACAAAAAGAAACGGCCCTCTCCGATTTGTCACTGTCTTGTTGTGTAACAATGTATACTGCCGAAAGTACTTCATCGAGCTATGTAGACTTCTCTAATGCACAAAACTGTGCATTTTGAGTTACCTTGTATCATATTCATATAAGTAGCAAGAAAGCTCTTTTTATTCTTGTAATGTCTCCTTCTTTAACACACAGTTTATACATGGATTTGTTTTCAGGGGACAAACAATGAAGCCAGCAGGATCACTCAGAAATTAACCGACAAAGAAGTCGTTATTAGGTAATAATTAAACTAACAAACTGACAACACTCTAATCACCTCAGTCTCAATTTCCTCAAGTGAAAATAGCAGCAAACTCATTAATGTTCTTGTCCGAAGAACCTCCTTCAGAGATGGCCTCACGAGCCAACACCTTTAACTTCTCAACATTCTTCCTCATCTCTTTCCCTTTCTCTCCTTCCATAACCTCAGCAACGCATCTCTCAATCTCTTCCTTGCTCACGAACCCTTCTTCATCGGTCTTCACTCTAACCCCAATCTTCCACACATCTTCTATAAACTTAGCATTCGTGGGCTGATCCGTCCACTGAGGCATCCCCACCAGTGGAACCCCTAAGCATAGTGCCTCCAATGTCGAGTTCCATCCACAGTGTGTCACGAAACACCCGATTGATTCATGTGCTAAAACCTCTAGCTGAGGAGCCCACTTAGCCACCAGTCCACAATCTTTCTCTAAAGCTTCTTCCACAAAACCAGACGGTAACTTGCTCCTCTCGGAATCTCGAACAGACCACAAGAACTTGTATCCGGTTTCTCTAATCGCCACTGCCACTTCTTTCATCTGCTTCTCATCCAAAGCCACCAATGTCCCGAACGCCACGTAAACCACGGACTTTGCCGGTTTGTTCTCCAGCCACTTCAAAACAGACTCGTCCGGCTCCGTTTTGAAGTCTCCGAGATCGTAACCTTTGTCCTCCGGCAACCGGTTGTCCAAGAACTTCGATGGAACCAGTGGTCCTATGTTCTTCACTGGCCATTGCTCATCCATCCATTTCACTACCTGAAAAAAGAAAAAGACGTTCACAAATTAAAACTTTTAACCTTCTTAAATCGCAAACTGCATACCAACAGAATCTAAGTTAACGTTACCTTAGGTTCAAGTTGATCAAAAGTGTTGCAGAGAATGCAATCAGCTCGTAGCAAGTTAGAGAATTGGCTAACCACAAGGTCGTATAGAAGAGGGTATGACCCTTTTTCGCAGGCGAACGAAGGAAGATCCTTTTGGCTTAACAATGGGAAAGCCGGAAACGATGCCAGCGTCGGGTTCTCGTGTCTATCAACGGGAACATCGTAGGTGCCTTCGTTGATGTGGTAGTAAATAAGACTAGCCAACCATGGTTGAGTGAAATAAGCCACTACGTATAGACCAAAGTCCTTGGCTACGTCCAGTGCAAAGGGCATAAATGGATCATAGATCAGAGCTTTTGGAGGATTGTCCGATAACATCTGCCTGAACATATATACATGACAATGACACTAGAGCTGAATAACAGTTTTGCCTGTTATCATGAAAATGCGGACAACAAATGGTATTATTAGATAGTATAAGTTATGTGGTTGAATTCCTAGACGTCAGCGATGTGGATTGTGGACATTGCAAATTCGCAATCTAAGAAAACGGTAACGATAAGAGAGTGAAGCCGTGTGAAGGGAGGGGATAAGGTGGGTGGTCCAGTGATGTTTGTTCAAATGAAATTGTGGACAGCTAAAAAGTATAATGATGGAACAATTATATAGAAAAATAGAGAATATTGTAAAAAGAAGAAGAACAAAAACGAAATTTTGCAAAATATGTACCTAGAGATGAAATCCCTGAAGCTACGAGTAGTAGCGTCGTTAAAGCGTAGAGGATCTTTGGCTTTGGTGAGAGGGTGTTCGTGTGGAAGGAAACCGTCGTGGATGGTGTGGACGGTGATGGAGTATTCGTCGGAGGTGTAAGGTTCACGGTGGTTGTTAGAGGCGATGATGAGTGAGACGGTGAGTCCCTTTTTGGATAAACGTTTAGAGAGTTGGATCATTGGGTTTATGTGGCCTTGTAATGGATATGGAAAAAACACTAAGTGGCCTTTTGCTTCACCCATTTCTTGTTTTTTGGTAAGAGCCGAAGAAACAATAAGTGGGCGATGATATGTTCTAATTCTACTATGTCTCCAGTCTCCTATTATAGCTAGTATTTATATGTCTCGTTATTTATAGAATTATAGTGTTGGATAAAGGTAATTCTTTATTTTCTTTGGTTTTAACTCGGCTGAGTCTCATTATATATTGATGTTTTTAGTGAAGAAGTTTATATGCAATGTGAGAGTGTTAACTTCTTTCTCTTTGGACTGATTTCTATGAAATGTATTTTGCTATTCAACCAATCTGGTGTGATGTTTAGAGAGCAATCTACAAGTTTCATGATGATAAAAAAATTGTAATGGTAGAAGACTATACCAAGCATGTAATAAAAACGTGCATGGAAGGAAATTTGGTGAGTGTGTTTTAACAAAATATTAGGTGGGTAGGTACCAAAAAATAATAATATATATTTTCATTATTTTCTCTTTTTTGTGAATCATCATTTTCATGTAAGTTTGAAAGGACTGCCAAAAAAGTGGTGGACCAGCTTAGAAAAAGACCTGATGTTTAGACTTTAGAGTTATAATCAACTTTTATTTATGCTCAAGTTCCCTCATTTTTAATTGAGAATGGTAGTTACTAACTTGATGGCATACGTGGGTTGTGACCTTGTGGGATGTTTCCACTCAGGGCGGATCTAGTAATGGAGTAAGGTGGTCAAGTGACCACCACTAATTCTTAGATTTGATTGAATTTAAATATATATTTGTACTATATATTGATTATTTGGTTAAGTTTTAGTGGTTTGACCCCTACTAATTATGAATTCCCAACTTTTGACCCCCTTACACACTTTTTCTAGCTCCGCCCCTGTTTCCACTCACTAACTTAAGTTAGTAACTACCATACTCCAACTCCAAGACATCTTTTAAAATAAAGGAGGTAACAATTTCTCTTGTAAACAAATGTTATATTTTCAGAAAAGATACTTGTTTTGATTGTTCACTAAAGTTGCAGCAGCAGAGGCAAGAACATACAATCCGAACTCAAAATTCAAGTAACAATTATGCTAATGCTAAATAATACGAATAACTAACAAGGTAAAAAAAAGGCCGTCACAAACTCTGACGGTCATTGCCTCATTGGCATGGCATGCAGAAACATAAATAAAACTGATAAAATTGTTCCAAATTTCTGAATAAATCCTTATATTTTGTAAAACTGAAGCTGGGAAATCAAAGTTACCAATCTCCTTTCAGCACAAACTTTTGTCTTTTGGTAGAATATACAAAGTCTCTTGTCCAGTCATGTTCAACATCAACAAGACCATTCTCCAAAGCTTTCACCAGATTGTCGAAGTAGGTCTTGGTTACTTTAGTCAAAATCATTATTTTTTGCTTGAATTGTTCGAAAGCTTTTGGCGGGCCTTCTTCTTCAACTCCGGTGAGAAACGGTTTCAAATCGAACTCTGCACAATGATGAAGCCTCTCCAAACCAGTCTCAGCCTCACTCTGCAAATACGAGAAAAAATCTTTCTTGGCTGGTTCCTGCTCATGAAGGTAGTATCCATATGCATATGTCCATTTCAAGACCCTTCTACACTCGATGATCTGCAACCAACAGAAAAATCAATCACATGACACATTTGTTTATAAAAAGGGATTGCTGTAACATTTATATAATAATTCATCAATCTTTAATGTTTTCACAACTATAAAAAATGATTCTACTAATATATATATATATATATATATATATATATATATATATATATTAAAATTGTTATTTTAATTCTACTCGGACATTCCCTTCTACATTAAAACAAATTCAAGCAATCTAGACTAATAAGAGTCTAAGTTAGTTATTTAGATTGTATATAGAGACATGTGTTTACCTGAAGCCAAGCGTCTACCATGAATTTGAGCTCAGTTACTGGTTTGCGTTGTATGTCACTAAGCTGCTCGAGCTGCACCGATTGCAATTGCTCAAAATCTGCCATAGACCTTAGCCTCGCATTTTGATTGCTTACCCATCTTTCGAAATAATGCATGTACCTATCGATCGCTTGTTTCGCCCTTTCTCTCTTCAACTCACTCGCACTACCCTCAAACCTGTTGCAACCCACGTGCTTGTTATATGGACTAAGACAAAGCCAACAAAACTCAAATCTACAAGGCGCTGAGCATGTCATATGGTTACATCCCTGATTCTTCTCGATCTGGCGGTTGCACTTAGGGCAAGGCTTTGTGTTCGCAAGTATCCAGTTTGTGTTCTCCGACTCATCAGTGTTCTTGCGTATCCATTTAGACACCGTCTCGCAATCCACAGGCCGGTGAGCATCTTGGCTACAATTCCAGCAAAACTCACAAGTACACAAACAAGAAACATCGTACTTTTCACTTTCACTTTTAAGAAAGATCGCGTGTTCGCATCCCGGTGATGGACACCACTTTGTCCTTTTCTCGCTAGCTTCGACGTAAGACCTCAACAAGTATCTATCATACTTCTCCTTGTCTTCTTCCTTGGATACAAACTTATAGATCATATCTTGACCAACCACAGCAGAACAAGAAGGCTCAGGACACTTAACCATCAGACATCCCGCACCATCGTTGACTTTCGCAGTGATGTAACCGGTCCAACACGTATTGCAATAAGGATGACCACAAGAAGCCGCTGCCGTTTCCGCCTCCGTTTTAACATACGACTCAAAGCAAACTCCACATTCGACAATACGTACTTCTCTACCACTAAGCAGGTCAACGACACTTACTTCTCTATCACTAAGGACGTCAACGACAGGCTCCTTCAATATGCCAACCATCTTGCGGACTCTCTCTTCATCCGTAAACCATCCATCTTCGATTTTACCAACACTCCAGTGATGGTGAACAAGCAGAGCGATCGCTTCGGCTTGGCTTACGGAGAAAACCATAGAAACTTTTTCGATATCGTCTCTTTGATGCTTGCGAATATCTTCTTCCTTGAGAACTACGTAACCTAGCTGAGAAAGTTTGGATGAATCTTCACCATCATCATCATAACCGAGATCGTCCCCGTCTTCACTGTATCCCTCCCCTGATTCGTAATCGAGCATGTCATCCTCATCCGAATAACTCATGATCGAGTGATGATACAAAAATAACCCCCAAAACGATTTGGAGATTTAAAGGGAGCAGACGAAACCAACCCCTACATGTACTTCTCGCTCGTAATTAGGGTTTTTGTTTACACGAAGAAGATCTCTCTAACTTTTCTTTTTTTTATATATATAACAAATTCTTTCTTCTAATCATCTCCTTTTATAGGCTTTTCGAATCCACGTCATATAAATATTTAGCCAATGGTTATCTCTATAGTGACCGCCTTAAAGCTTTTAAGCCCACTTCTGAAGGAGAAAACTCAGGAGTCAGAACCAATAGCTCTTCTCCACGTGTTGTTATTTAGGAAAATTGAAACGTATACAATTATAACTAGTCAATCACATAACTATTTTATTTACTTGTACTATTTATGGTGCAAAAATCTTCATTAAGATTTGTTTTTCCGTTTTCTTCTCGGGATAGTTTAGGAACTTAGATTATAGGCTGTCCAACATTTGTTAAAATTAAAAATGAATAACTACAAAGTTTCCTTTTTCATCAAGAGTTTGCAAATTTGCAGATTTGGTTTAAAAAGTTATAGATTTTTATTAATGTTTCACACTATAATATTTTTAAAAATAAAGATTTTCTTATTAATATTTTCACTAATATTAAATCATGTGACATATTAAAAAAACTAAAAGCGTAGAACAAACATCAATGGCAACAAATAAAAAACGTATAAAACTTAACTTCTTTCTCCCGTCTTATGTCACAAGCATTTCCGAAAACAACAATAACAAGATAAAAAATAACAATACAAATCACGTTCGAAAATTCTTAGTTCTCCAAGAATCTCCCCAAGAACACATTATTATCATGCATCATCACATATTGATACGATCAGATTACCTAGCAATTTGAGAAACAAACTCATCAATATTCTTATCAGAATTTCCTCCTTCAGACAAAGCTTCTCTTGCAAACTCCATCAATCTCTCAACATTCTTTCTCATCTCTTTCCTTTTCTCCGACGTCTCCTCCATAACTTCTCCAACACATCTACAATCTCTTCCTTGGTCACAAACCCATTTTTATCTGCCTTAACCCTAACCACAACCTTCCACACATCCTCGATAAACTTAGCATTCGTCGGCTGATCGCTATAAGCCGGCATTCCAATCAAAGCCACTCCCAAGCTTATCGAAATAATCTCCTCTCACAGCAGCATCTTCTTCTTCATCGTCTGAGCATGGAGGTGTAGCAAACAATCAACTTCTTCATCAACAAAATCAGCCACATTTTGCTCAACCCTTGCTTCCTCCTCAAACGACAGCGTTTTATTTTGCCACAGTGTCGTCCACGTCACCCATGCGTTAACACTTAACAGTGCACTAACGACAATTACGAATTTGTCGGAATTGGCTTTGATTATGATATTTCATGTGGGTTTTGGCTTTTTGTGTTTGTTCATGTGTGTATCTTCAGAAATCACCTAGTTCATTGGGGAAATGGCCGAAAACCCAACAAAACTCTTATATATGTCAAAATCAAATATACTTTTGCAAAACTCAACAAAACTTCATTTCATTAAATAAATTTTGCCTAAATTAGGTATCCAAAAACGGAACCCGATCCAAACCAAATCCGACCAGAAAAATAAAAACTACAGAACATGCCAACAAAAAAAAATTATACCATTTGAAAGATGACTTTCTTTATAAATTGTAGTACGGAATTCTTCATTGGAACTCGTTTTAAAACAAAAAAGAAGACCATGATCAAAACTTGTAAACGAAGGAACAAAAAAAAAGGATTCTCCTAAGATAGACCTGTCTAAGTCGTTTGTCTTTCATTAAGACTCAATATCAGAATCTGAAGAGAGGAAATCATCTGCCTGAAGACTTGGAACAGAATCATCATCAGATTCACCTAAGGAATCTCTCTTCTTACCAATCGCTGCTTCCTCCATGAGACTATCCTTAACCGCTAAATCCTCTCCCTCTTTGGGAACCATATTATCTTTCTCTGAACCATGTCCTTGAGTTTCCTCGGTTGATTCAGGATCCTTCTCAGACACATGAGCTTCTTGAACATTCTCTGATGCAACCATATCTGTATGATCTTCGACACTTGTAGCTAAATCATTCCCAAGTTTCAATCTTTTGGTCTCTTGGAGAGGTAAAGTCGTGTCTAAGCTTCTCTGAATCTCGTTGATAGAAGGAGGATCCGCGTTTGACAGCCATCTGTTGTATAGACCATCACCACTGTGAGCAATACCGTTCAAATTATTGTGTTTTTGGCTGGCCAGAGAAGTGCTCTCCGGGAATCGTTCCCCAAGTGATGGGAGACCGTCGAGTGGGAGTGCCCTCGGGTGAATGACAACTTCAAGAGTCATGAGAGCATGAGCACAGAATCCAGCAACCTTCATCTCCGCCTGAAATTTACCTGTGATGTATGGCATCAAATCAAATTTCCGGCTTTTGAAGCTTAGTTTAAGTCATGCCAACTATCTTAGTTACCTGTTCGGAAAAGCTCAAGCCCTTCGGCTAAAAATTTAGGGCGTACTCGTGATGGAGAAACAAGAGATGCCAAAAAGGCACGGAGTGCTGCAAGCTGAATCTCGACCTGATCCGTACACGACACATTGGGTAAACACCCGTAGGTTGCAGCACTAGCCCATCTACCTACACAAGCATTTGTTGCTGTTGTCATTACAAGAGTATCCACACGTTCTCTCCAGCTATCAGATCCCAATGCACCACCCTGAAACCCGGAACAAAAGCAGAATATTTGATTACCAAAGAAGAAATATGGTGACTGTGAGTAGGATTCAAGTAAGCTTATCCACAGAGTTTAACATCATACTAAGTTCTCAACAATGAAAGAGCTTACGATGTTGAGAAGTGTTTCCAGTGCCTCGAGAGCTGCTAACTTTAATGAAATCGGGCTATTCGAGTGATTGTGAGGGAGTCCCACTTCAAAAGCAGAGTTCTCTGCCTCGGCTCCTGATTTAGTTGAATGCTTCCTTTTTTTACTGCCAGCCTGAAGAACAACACCCTTAGTAAGCAATGGGGTTTTGCTAGATACCGCATCAAATCCTTCTACAGTTGTTGTGCCTAGATCCACAGAGGCATTATTGACAACTTCCTGTGCCAGTTGCATTGCCATCCCTGGTCAAACAAGTATGTCAGCGGAAGTGATCTTGATTTTCAACATATAAGCCCGAGGAATGAAAATGCTAGCAGATGCGAGCTCTTGTGAAATTACCTACACCCATGGATTTGAGCAAGGTTGTAGTGATTGAGTAGAGCTTTATCTTCAATTCTGGCAATGAACATTTCCTGAAGTAGCTACTAACAAGTCTCACCACAGATGCAGCATATGGTAAAAGTTGGCTGCAAAACGAATCAATACGAGGATGTTATTTAGTTCATGCGGCACAGAAACGTGTAGTAACAAACCATTATTTGGGAAAACGAGAAAAAGAAATTTTGTAGCCCTCAGAATCTGGAAAATTGCAAATGAAAGTCGGAGCAAAACTGTTTTTAGTGAAGACATATGGTCAGAGTTAGTTGAAATCTAATCTTTCATGTACATATTTATAGTTGTGGCCTATGCAGGTAATAAAGCCGGTTAAACAGAAATAAAAAGGAGACCAGTTTACCTGCGGATACTCTTTATAGTAGCTAGCAAGAGTTCCAGAGCCGACGAATGCAAAGTCGGAAGTTCTGCACAAACAAGTTCTTGTTGGATCCCTGTCATGAAGGGTGACACGGCTCGAGGTAGAGAGCCGTTCACCGCCAGCACTCGCTCAACAAGGGATAACAATGACCCAACTGGAATATTAACCTGAATGTTGACAGAAAGAATCTTTCAGAAGCAAATGAAAACAATCACACACATCAAGAGAGCCGTAAGGACTCTGCTGAGCACCAATCCAAACTTTGGACACGGCATAAGCACATGCATGCTAAACTTGATTTAACAAGGATGCTTAATCTATACATCACCCAAATTTGACACTTATCTATTTATGACCAAGTAAAAAAAGAAATCACACTACCTTAGATCTGCTCGAGCTAGTTAGCATCGTTGAGCAGCAGAACATAAGTGCAGAAACTCTGGTTACAATCAATTGTTCAGAGTTCCATGATGCATCATCTAAACCCCCATTTTGACCTCCCAAAGGCAAAGGAGAGTCTTTCCCAGGAGGAGTCAATCGTTGAAGGGCTTTTTTTCCTTTTGTTTCTGCAACACATGTCATCGTGTTCTATCAAGCAACTAAAGCCACCCGCAAACAAACAAAAAGAAGAAAGAAATGAACAAATTACCTTCTTCTAGACCTTGGAAAAAATTATTTAAATGTACATTTATAGATATCAATAGCTTTTGCATCATCAAGGACCAGCTGCCCTCGTCCCCTTTATTAGCTTTGGGGAGCAAAGCTAGAAAGTGGGCAAATTTCTGAAGGTTGAGATACAAGGAAAGAAGTGCACGTTAATATTTCTCTGCTTAGTTGATGAAAAATGTGATATAGACAATATACAAAAAAGATGAATACCTTTAACATATTAGAACTGGTTTTTGCAGAAAATATTTTTGAGGCAATAGCGGCTTCAACCTGCAAGTAATAGCATTTTCAAATAAACTTCAATCTAACGGTGATATTCTATCATCATAACCAGTTTTTTTTTAAATAATTATGTTTCCACCTAGATATATCTGCATGTATTCATCAGATACTGAACTGTTGTCAAAATACTAGATAAGCAGAAAAAAATAAAAATAAAGAAGCGAATGAGAGCTGACCTTATCATAATTACTGTGGAATGCAGCAGGAAACAAGATTACAACTGTAGTTAGCAGATGGACAATGCTTTCCTGCAGATCCAGTGGCAATCAAAAATTCAAATTGAGGATTCGAGCAATCAAATGAGCGGGTTGCAAAATTATAAATGAGACTTCACTAAATTCTTATATCAATAACGAAATCTAGTAGGTCATGATGAATGGGATTCAAACAGAGGAACTAATGCATAACTCTAGATGTTTTTCTTTTATATGGCCTTGTTAAATGTTGCACTTACCCATAGTGCTTCCGAAGGATCTTCGTCCAAGAGTTTAATAATTGGCAGGATTACTTTCGCAGCATGTGACACTGCATCTTTCTTTGTATTCGAAAATCTAGACAGTCTGATTCAATAAAAAAAATCATCTTAGATTCCCATTAAGTTCCTTGTTACAAGAAGCTTAAATAGCAAACCCAGGGAAACAGTAGAACACAAGGAAAAAGTAAGTAGAACAGATTCCAGTTTATACAGACCTTGTAAGGAGATCAGAGATTGAGGTACATGAAGCCACTCGAACAATTCTAGAACTTTCTGGATTCTGCTTGAGAAAACAAATACAAATCATGTACTTTCAACATAAAAAGATGGAACAAATCTCACCATAAAGTAGCTACATATGCATACCTTGATATGTGATAGTAAACTGTTAAACCAAACAGAGTATGAAGTGAAGAAACGATCTGAGCTGCATTCTTGACAAGTTACTCCCATCAAACAAATACCCACCCAGCATTTATCTGGCTAGATGCAATAAACATCAAAAGGTTAAAAACTTTCTCTTGATTTTAAAGTAGAGAGCAATCGAAGAAAATACTATTGAAGACCGATTCGTACCATATCAGAAGAAATCAGAGTCAACAACCTATCAACCCAATCATCAACGGCTGATTTCGACTTAGTTTGAAGCTTCTGTTCAGTTGAAGCCATTGGAGACTCGGATAATAGCTTATGGGTGGCGATAGTTGAAACAACCTCGGAGAGTGATAGAAAATTGGTCACAGGCTGCTTCTCGTTGGGAACATACTCGGACAGAAGGTTTCGTAGTTTCTTAGGCTCCAATTTCGGGTCGCACATGTCGTCGAAACGCTCAAAAGACGCCATTGGAGAAGTGAACATCGAGAGAGAGAGAGAGAGAGAGAGAGATGCGGATGAAGAAGAAAGAGAGAGGGTTCAATTAGGGTTTTAGAATCTGCCGTCCGGTCCGGCTTCAATTAATCCGGTTAGTCTGGTTTTATTAATTCAATTTGCCGTCCGGTCCGGCTACAGATTCATCCGGTTGCTAGTTTTTTTTATAACGTCTTAAATAGCTGTTGGAAACAGAAGAAGAAATACAAAAAGACAGAGCTTCAAACTCTGGAAAACATAAACCATTACAATGAGACATTATCATCCGACAGTGGCTTCTCTTTGAATGCGATTATGAAGCCAAGATGGTCCTCCCATGGCCATATACGATCCAAATCGACCATCTCGAGTTACGCTCTTCGATATCTCTCGCACAAGTAAGTTAGCTTCTCTTCCATGAAACAACACATTCACCGTAATATCCAAGCTCCTCCACTATGCAGGAACGGGTGTCTCCATAAAGAAAGAAAACAAAAAATCACTAATAATTGCAAATTATGGAGACAAACTCATGAGATGTTCCTTCATTGTCCAACGCGATGCGGGTAAAGCCTTGTGTTACAAGTAAAGTTGTCTACAGTGAACAGAGCACAAGACTATTTATACGTTGTAGTATCCTCAATGGAGTTGTTCGCAATAGTTTCAGGTGATATTAAAGAATGGAGATTACGTGAATATATATATATATATATATATATATATATATATAAAATCATATGACAGATTGAAAAAAAAAAATCAAAAGCGTAGAAAATAAACATCAAATAAAAAACGCATAAAACTTAACTTCTTGGTTTCGTTATTCTTCAATCCATATTTCTCCCGCTCCAATCATTTTATGTCACATTGTTCATAACACAAGCATATCCGAAAACAACAATAACAATGCAAATCACATCTGAAAATTCTTAGTTCTCTAAGAACTCCCCAAAAATACATTATTATCCTGCATGCATCACATATGATACGATCAGATTACTTAGCAATTTGAGAAACAAACTCATCCATATTCTTATCCGAGTTTCCTCCTTCAGACAAAGCTTCTCTTGCAAACCCCATCAATCTCTCAACATTCTTTCTAATCTCTTTCCCTTTCTCCGACGTCTCCTCCATAACTTCTCCAACACATCTCACAATCTCTTCCTTGGTCACAAACCCATTTTTATCTGCCTTAACCCTAACCCCAACCTTCCACACATCCTCGATAAACTTAGCATTGGTCGGCTGATCGCTATAAGCCGGCATTCCAATCAAAGCCACTCCCAAGCTTAATGCCTCCAAAGTCGAATTCCACCCGCAATGGGTCATGAAACAACCTATTGACTTATGCGCAAGAACTTGTAGCTGAGGACTCCAATTCACTATCAACCCTTTCTCACCAATTTCCTCTATGTAATTGCTTGGGAGCTTCTTTGTCTCTGTTTCTCTAACCACCCACAAGAAGTTATGCCCGGTTTGTTTTAGACCAGCCGCGATTTCGATCATTTGGTCGTCTTTTAGGATAGCTAAGCTTCCAAAGGAGACGTAGAGCACTGAACCGGGGGGTTTTGAGTCAAGCCAGTCGAGGCATTCGTTGACTTGTGCGTTGAAGAGACTGATTCCGTAGTCTTTGTCACCCTCTAATCTTTTGTCTAAGTACATTGATGGAATCATTGGTCCAATGTTCTTGACCGGCCATTGGTTCTTCATCCATTCTAGCACCTGAGAACAACATTTAGCATTTCAATTAATACAGGCAATGAAGGAACGTATGGAGATAAGGACATATTTATATTTAGTTATATCTACAATATATATTCTAGTATATCTCTATGTAGATTAGGATCTACATATTCATATAAATACTCTACTATGTAAACCCATTCAAGACAACTTAATACAATACACTTTCATAAGTTATTTCATGGTATCAGAGCAGTCGATTCTGGGCCACCCCGTGGATGTTGTTCCCACAATTACCCACGCTTTAGATGATGATCTCTGAGCGTGAGGTGGGGTGTTAATGATGAACCACCCGATGTTGGGCCACCCCGTGGATGTTGTTCCCACAATTGCCCACGCTTCAGATGATGACCTCTGAGCGTGAGGGGGGTGTTAATGATGAAAGTCCCACATCGGAATTTGGAGAAATAACTAACTAATATATAAAGGGTTAGGGCCTCTCCACCTATTGCCAATTGGTTTTAGGTTGGATGCCCATGTTTAACCCTAATTTGACATGGTATCAGAGCAGGTTGATTCTTAGGATCAAAACTAGTGCTTCTGCGTGAAGAGGAGACCATGATGGTCGTTGAAGGAGAAGATGGGGATGATGAAGACGATGTTGATCGTTTGGGTTACACAAAAGTTTTTTTTTTTTAATTTACTATTTCTCTTGCTTTGGGTATTAGGTTTTCATATTTAATTTATTTGATAGATACATATTTGATCATCGTTTAGCTTTTGATTAGTTTATTTCAAGCTAGGATTTGATTTTTTTTTTTGGGTCTACCAAGAGTGTTTTGATATTTAAAAGTTTGTGAGTGTTTACTTTGGGTTTACGTTATCTCGGCCACTTCTTGATGTTCATGATCATCATCGTCCGTAACTCCTAAGGCTCCGTTCATGATCATGATCTCTAGCTAATCTGCCACCGCTGCTATTTCTGCTATTTCTGTTCAAGTTGTTGCTGCTGCTGCTTCCGTGATGACATCACTTTACTTTCAACTACTACTACTACTTCTACATCAAACATGGCGGATTATTCTACGAATACCTCTATCTCCTTCTACTACTACACTACTTACTACATCTATAGCTGAGCCTACTACTACTATTATATGTCAGATTTGGCACCAGATACTACTTCTATTACTGAAATTGAGCAACCTCCATCTTCTTCTGATGAAAACAGATTTACAGAAGAGGTTGAAGCTCCTTCTCCGGGCATTCCCGAGTTACTACTACTACTCTGGTTACTGACCAATCTCTCTTACGGTTCAATTTTCTCCTGTTTGTTGGCGTCGCAACAGAGAAAAGAAGCCATATATACTTATGAAGAACTCATCTCTCATAGCAAGTTCGATGTTTCTTCTTCTAGAGAGGTCTCAGCATCTACACAACTACAGAGGAACAATCATTGCAATCTACTCTTCAAGTTGGAAGTTCAAGATTTCTCACCTCCAATTTGAGGGAGGGTATGGAGATAAGGACATATTTATATTTAGTTATATCTACAATATATATTCTAGTATATCTCTATGTGGATTAGAATCTACATATTCATATAAATATTCTACTATGTAAACCCATTCAAGACAATTTAATACAATACACTTTCATAAGTTATTTCAAAACGTTATAGTATAGCTGGATTGTATATACACTTCGTAGATTGATTTCAGAATTAAGCAAATCAATTGCGTACGTGCATGCATACACTCTATAATTTGGGTGTTAATAGTGGGAGAAAACTAGTTAACCTGTAAATGATTGATCAGATATTCATAACTTCAAAGTAATGAAAGAAAATTAGATAGTTATCTGACGCATATTCATAACTTCATAAGCTTGTATTTCATTGTATATCCATCCTTACAGCTAATAAACACCGAACACATCACACATGTGACATGTCTATCCCAGATGTATACTAAAATAATCAAAAGGTGTAGGGCATGACACGTTATAGTACATTATTTAATTATTTAAGATAAAATCATTTTATGGCTACATATTTGCCACGTTAAAACCCCCATCCATTGCATACCTCAGATATGCTACAAATAAATATGCACCTTGGGATGTTCGCTCAATTGACATATCGCTTCGAAGATGAATGATGTTCTTTTTGTCGTTTGAAATAATGATGTTTTTCATTTTATTTTTGCTATATTACTTTTTCCTCATACTATCATTATTTGTTACACCCTCTTTTATACCACGTACCTACACTCCAACCATATTGAGTAAACGAATTAATTCTCAGAAGACCTAACTTTACAACTAAAATCTGGCTCTTCAATTTTGTTACTTCTTTTTAAAAAAACTTATATGCATCAAGTATTCAATGATTCGGTAGGATAGTGAATAGGATAGTATTTACTATCCACCATCATATCACATGAAAAAAATACTGTCATTTTGCAGTTAATAATATATGAACAAAAATAAAACAACAAAACTCTAAACTTAATGATTTACCTCAGGTTCGAGTTCGTCGAACGAGTTCACCAGGAAGAAGTCAATGTCGTCAACATTCACAAACTGGCTACTAATGAGCTCAAACAACGGCCGGCAAAGATCATTGTCGTACAAAAACACCGGCAAGTCACTACCCTTCAACGGAGGCATCGCCGGCAAAATGACGTCGTCCTGAAACTCCTTAAACGCTCCACCCAAGAAATGAACATAAATCGCGTTCACAATGGAGCACTGAGTGAAAAACGACGCCGCAGCGACGCCGGGGTACTTCCGGCAAACGTCGAGAGCCCAAGGCATACACGAGTCGTAAACGACGGCGTTTGGTTTGGGTTCCATGGAGGAGATAAGCTTCGAGAGGCTTCGAGAGACGTTTTCTTCGAACTGTGCGAAGTACTCGGGAGATGAGTCGGTTGAAGGGTGGCCTTCCTCGAAGCCATCGTCGAGGGAGACGAAGGAGAGTGGAAGAGCGGTGGCTCCTCCGGCTATGGCACGGCGGATGATGGTGTTGTGGGTGGAGGAAGTGGTGAGGAATGTGACGGTGACGTTTTTGGAGATAAGACGTTTGGAGAATTGGAGGAGAGGGTTTATGTGTCCTTGTATCGGGAATGAAAAGACTAACACTGATGCTTTCGCTTTTTCTCCCATTATTCTCTCTCGCTCTATCTCTCTCTCTTCTTCTAAATTCTGATGTTGTTGAAAAATACTCTCTTCTTGATGTGGTGGGGAGCGTCTAGAATATTTGGGTTTATATATACAACCAATGGAGACGATTTGTTACTATATAATCATTTACCAAAAAAGACAGCTAAAAGATTTTCGTCATTGGATTTGGTCTGATTGTTATAAGATCGTGTCTTATGTACATGCATCGTATTGTGATGTTTTAACTTTTAAACTTTGGTTTCAGTGGTGGAGAAGAATTTAAATCCTTCTTTATCATCTAATCCCCGATTCGTTGGAAAATAGAAAAAAACTTTCTTTTACTGTTTTTTTTCAGCTTCTATTATTGACCTCGTTTTATTTTGTTAGAATTTGATACTTTCCATTTAATTTTGTATTCAAAATATTTTCTTCTTTTATATAATTTAATTAATAATATATATTATTTTTTATCTAAATGATAATTTTTTACTCGAGAAAGTAAGTTTAATTACCATGCATGGATACCCCTGTTGCCTGTTGGATTTTTCTTTTGGTGTCAAACGCATTATCTCCATCTAATGATTGATTATATATATGGATGGTATCCTCTAAGGATTCGGTCCCGAGATGAATGAATACGTGCACTATCACAAAACGTATCTATGGCCTATATGGGTCGTCTAGGACACCGATGTGGACGTTCAAATCACCATTTATCTTCTGAATACGTAATCGGGATATTAGTAAAGTGTATTTTTATGATCAAGTGTCCTTTTCAATTTAGAATACGAATAACTTGTCTATAGAACTTTCTTCCAACTTCAAATATCGAAATAACTGGATCTTATAATCTTAATATAGGATGATCTTGATAACCACATCTCACAAACTGATATTAATAAAAGGTATTTTTGGTGTGAACTAATTTACGGTAACAAGTTTACATATATTGTTGATTAGGAAACAAGTTTCTCTGTAATATTGATTTGCTGTTTGTACCGAGACAAAAGAGACGTGACATGAGATACTAGTTTAGATTCTTGTCATCTTCCCTGGAGAGGCACTGCCATCAAATTATAACGGTTGATGTCATTGCTTATGTAAGCAAGAACTTAAAATGAAAACTACAAAAACGATTCAGTCTGGTCTCTAGTAGTTTAGGTGACAAATTTTCTCTATATTATTTTAAAAATAGGGTGAAATGATATATTTGGAATCCTTTTTTTTTAAGTGTGACTGAAAAGAAAAAAAAATCTGATATACAATTCAGATTTACTTCAAAAATTGCCACATTGAGATATTTGACATACCTACCTGATTTTCAGTTCAGAATTCATATACGTAGTACTTAAAACTTTGTTTTCTCTCCATCAATCCCTCATATACTAAGGGCCTGACTGGTTTAACCGCTGCGGTTGCGGTTGCGGGTGCGGGAGTTTGCGGAAGCGGGCGGTTGTGATTAGTAGCGTTATTAAGCGGTTTGTACGACTGGCATAACAATTGAAAATGGATGCGTTTGCGGGTTACTTATGACTGGTTCACTTGCGGATGCAATAGCGGTTAAACAATAAATTAATAATATAAACACATTATATAATTATAAAAATATCAAAACTATATTATAATGAAAATTTTAAATTTATGGTTCAACATAATTAAAAAAATATTATAAAGAATAATATGTGTATAATACTTACGTCTATCTTTTAATTTCTATAATTTAAATAAAAAATGTGATTTTATTTTCAAAATATATATTTAATGTGAAAATTAAATTTATATTACAATTTTATTTATTAGATATATATGTATTAGTATGAAAAGAATATTTATCAAGAGAATTTTGATTTGTAGAACTTATAAATATATAAGTATTATATGATTTTAATGAATATTGACTAAAAGTACTAATTTTTTATTTATATTGTGATTTTATTATCCAAATCTTATTTTTTAATAAATATTATTATTTATTTTCGGATTTTATATAAGTTTGTGTTTTTTTTTTTTTTTTAATTATCCACCCGCAACCGCAAACGCTTGCGGAAAGGAGCTTTTGATTTTCAGCGATATAGAGCGGTACAGAGTGGTATAGAGCGATTCAAAGCGGTTGTCGTGATTGTTATAAACCGCCGAAAACCGCTACGAACCGCAAACGCTGCGTTTGCGGGTGGTAGCGGGAGAACCAATCAGGCCCTAAATCACAATACATATTAGGCCTAGTCCATGCACAAACTCTGGCCCAATCGAAGCCCACTATCTGAACAAACCGAAATCATGATCGTACTTTTGGTTAGCTTTCCCGTCCAGTTTGGTTTGGTTTACTTTGATTTGATTCGGCTATTGATGTCTATTCCTTGAACCAAAATTAAACCGTACTCCGGCTCCAGCTTCAACCTCCAAGCTCCGTCACTGCGGTCAGGTCAGTCAGTGAGATAGATTAGGGTTCTTGGTTGACTTGGGATTCCATAGCAGCTATGGGGAAGAAGAAAGGTAGCAAAGCTGATTCTTCAGATGATTTCCTACAAACCCTCGAAGACTTCACAAGCAAAGAGAATTGGGACAAATTCTTCACTCTCAGAGGCAACGACGACTCATTCGAGTGGTACGCTGAGTGGCCTCAGCTCCGTGACTCGCTATTACCTCTCCTCCAAGACTATTCTTCTTCTTCTCCTTCGTCCTCTTCTCCTCCTGGGTCGTTTCAGATTCTAGTTCCGGGATGCGGAAACTCCCGCCTTTCCGAGCATTTGTACGATGCCGGATTCCGTGACATCACCAATGTCGACTTCTCCAAGGTTGTTATCTCCGATATGCTTCGCCGGAACATTCGTACTCGGCCCGAGCTGCGTTGGCGAGTTATGGACATCACAAAGATGCAGGTTTTGGTTCCCTTTGCAACTTTTGTGCTCTGTTTTTCTCGTTGTTCTCTCTCATTTACACAAGCTTTTGATTGCTTCTCTTGCCCAGTTGGCCGATGAATCTTTCGATATGGTTCTCGATAAAGGCGCTCTTGACGCTTTGATGGAGCCTGAAGTCGGTACGAAGCTGGGAAATCAATACTTATCAGAGGTGCGTGCTTGTTCCTCTACAAATTTCCATTCCATTTGGATGATTGCAGGATCAAACAATGATATATTTATGTGCTTAGAATTTATTAAATTTCGATTATTAGATTATCAATACCTCTTTTTCTCAGGCTAAACGTGTTCTGAAACCTGGAGGGAAATTTGTCTGTCTAACTCTGGCGGAGTCTCATGTCTTAGGTACTTCCACCATTCTTAACTTTTGTTACCATTAGGTGAAATATTTCATTGGTATCATTTATCTTCAATTATATTGAAATTCTTAGTATTTTTGCAGCATTGCTTTTTTCAAGATTTCGTTTTGGTTGGAAGATGACTGTTCAATCAATCTCTCAAAAACGCTCGAATCTCAAGACATATATGGTGGTGGCTGAAAAAGAAAAGTCCATAGTATTGCATGAGATAAGCTCTTCTTTCGATCTTTTATCTATCGGAGGCAATGATAAACAGGTACATTATTTTCTGAACCTAAGTTTCATCCGAAGTTAATGAAATTTTGTTATGACTATGACTCATACTGTTTATTGAAACCACAGTTCACTTTATACATTTATTTGAATTTTGTAGCTCTTGAATACTGTTAGTGTGCCATTCTCCAATGTAATAGTATGATTTTGAATTATTATTCTAGGCTTCTGGTATGTGTGAAGCCCTCGAGAGTGAGAACAAGATACGTAGAGACTGCAATAACGGGACAGACTTATTGTATACTCACGAAGAGTTGAAACTTGGTATTAAAGGAGACTTAGCAGAGCTTAGTGGAGGTCGCCGTATAAAATTTACTTTGGGTTGCCAAGGAAGCAATTTCAGTTATAGGGCCGTGCTTCTTGATGCCCAGAAACAGACGGAGCCGTTCGTGTATTATTGCGGTGTTTTTCTTGTTCCCAAGGTAAGTTTTTGTCAACATCATCATTATAAGCTATTGTAATTTTTGTTTGAACTATTAAAAGGAGTGTTAAAATTTCAGACTCGTGCTCATGAGTGGCTCTTCTGTTCAGAGGAAGGACAGTGGCAGGTTGTCGAGAGTTCTCAGGCTGCTCGTCTCATAATGGTAAGCTTTTTATGGTAAACCCTCTTATGATTCACCATGTTTTCTCGTTGATTTGTTCGAAATGAGAATCTAAACGAATCTTAAATTCCTTGTATTAGGTTTTTCTCGACAATAGTCATAGTGGCGCCAGCATGGAGGATATTCAGGTACAGTTCTGCATTTTTAGTTGTCTGATGCATTTTGTTATTTACATATTGGTTAATCCTAAGTTGTAACTCTTTTCTCCTCAGAATGATTTATCTCCCATGGTGGCACAACTAGCTCCTAAAAACGATGATGAAGAAGCTCGCATTCCGTACGTTCGTTTTTCTCATCTCTGTATATTCTCAATGCTTTTGATGCAACAGTTTATCTTTTGATGCAACAGCTTCTCATATTATCTTCCCTATTATCGTTTGTTAATTATTAGTTGAATTGTATTGGTGCTGCAGGTATATGATGGCAAGTGATGGGATCAAAAAGCGTGAAACTGTCCACGAGGTGTTATACTATATATATGCAAAAAAATCACTTTAAGAAACTCTTCTTATTTGTCACTTTGTTCTTATATGATCATTGTTTCTTACAATTTATCTGGATTTATGTAGGTGACGTCGTCCTTGACTGGGGAAGTAGTCGTTGAAGATGTGGTTTATGAAAGCACTCCTAGTAATCCTGAAGGCTTATCTCCTTCTGACGATTTGGCATTTCGACGCCTTGTATTCAAAAGAACCGAGGGTTTGATACAGTCTGAAGCTTTGCTTGTGGAGGATGATGATATTCAATCTCAGAAAGAGAACACAAAAAATGTGTCACGAAAGGGAAATAAAAAACGGAACCAAGGTAAACAAATCTTACTTCTTTAGGTGTGTTTTGATATAGACAATACGTGAAAATTGAATTCTCTTTGTTGCTTGTCTCCATTTCAGAATCGAGCGGACCAATTATGAAGGTCTCTCATGATTATTTGGCTAGCTCTTACCACACTGGAATTATATCTGGATTCACATTGGTAGCTCCATACCTGAAGGAGGCTGAATCGCGTGGAAAGATGGTGAGCCATTGTGGCCTCGTTGTTTCTAGTTTGTTCATCGTTAAACTGCTCTCGAATGTTTGTCTTTACTCTTTACCATGTACTGATCGAGCAATGTTCATTGCTTCTCAGGTCAAGACTGTTATAATTGGTCTTGGAGCAGGATTACTTCCCATGTTCCTCCATGGATGCTTACCATTTTTCAATATTGAGGTAATTTCAGTTGTAAAGGATGTTACAAGTTAGCATTTCTCTATTGATACTTAATATGATGATAATGTTGATAGGCAGTGGAGCTTGACCCGGTAATGCTTACTGTTGGCAAGGATTACTTTTGCTTTACACAAAATGATCGCTTGAAGGTAAATTTTTATTATCATGCTTACGTCCGATTCTTTTATTTGCACTATCGCTCAGCTTTTGCTCATTCTTATAAATAGGTGCATATTGCTGATGGGATCAAATTCATCAGAGATATAACGAACTCTGAATCTTCGTCTGAGAAACCTTCAAACGTCGTGTCCACACCACAGTCGACTAGTGGAAACTGTCCTGACATTTTGATTATTGATGTTGATTCAGCAGATTCAAGGTAAGCACAGAGCCAAGTATTATTAAATTTGTAGAAATTTTCCCCACACTGATTTGCTGTGTCTTTCTTGTTTGATATCTGTTTGCAGCGGAGGATTGACATGTCCTGCATCTGAGTTTATCGAAGAGGCATTTCTTCTTTCGGTTAAGCGCGCTCTCCCTCAGCATGGTCTTTTCGTAGTGAACTTGGTCTCCAGGTCACAATCCATTAAAGATATGGTAGTATCAAGAATGAAGAAGGTAACACAAAGATGATCCTATCCTTGTAAAATCTCTGCATGTTTACAAGAAAACCGCATTTTTGAGTGGCGAGTGTATAATTGATCTCCTGTGTTTTGTATTTTGAAGGTTTTCGATCACTTGTTTAGCCTGCAACTAGAAGAGGAAGATGATGTAAACGTGGTGCTCTTTGGGCTTTGCTCTGAATCTGTAGTGAACGAGAGCGATATTCCAGAATCTGCAGCTATACTCGAGGGATTGCTCAAGTGTCAGAGACTGGAAACGAAACAAAGCATCATAGAGACTACAAAGAAGTTGAAATGCTGGAAATGAAATGAATAATAGCTCAAGAAGAAGAAAAATTAGCTCAAGAAGAAGAAGAAAAAATCACTTTTCTTTTTTCTTTTTATAAGTCTTTTATGTTTTGAAAGACGTGTACTATATATTTCGGTTATAATTTGTGTGACTGAAGAAAATTTTGAGATTACTGTGATGAAATACTATTTGGCTTCTTCCTTACGGAAATGGCAAATGAAACGTGGGGTTTTAGTTTTGCATAACCTTTTTTGATGTTAGACCAACTAACTTATTGAGGCATTCAATTTGGATGATAGTGATATATGACAAACATACGAAACCTTTGATTAGTTGGTGCATCCATCCGTGTTGTTGCTAACCAACGGTTCGAACTTCGAATGGTGATAACGAACCTTTTTTTTTTTTGGAACCAAGGCTTATGGTGATTATTACGATATTCATTTCTTTGTTTTATGTTTTAAACAAAGAAATAATCATTTAACATAGGCACATTTTGGTGCGTACGTAAGACTATTTTTTTTATACATTTATAAGAAAAAAGTCTGGTCGCCGCGAAGATAAAAGAAAAATAGTAAACAAACAAACGAATACAGAAACCGCGTGGGTCCGGCGTGGAACGCTGATTAATTCCATATTTTGCATGTAAACTTAATTTAAACTGAATCAAACTCAGTATTCGTTTAGCACAGTTTTGATTCTAACTAGCGGGCCAGCGGCTTCAATTTTTTTTCGTATTTTTAAATATCTAACGAGGATCAATGCAAATTAGTGACAAAAACTAAAGACAATTAGATTCTGTTCATATATAAAGATGGGTTATGAAACTGTATAGGTGACAGAGTCTGTGTGTGAATGTACTCGGATATCAACCAAAGGGTACAAAGCATTAACCTCTCTCGTAGAAAATTTCAAAGAAAGCAAAAAGTTGAAAAAGAAGAAGCGACAGATGCAGCAGAATTGGTCAATTTTTTGTTGACAAAACTAAATAAAAGACAATCAAATGTCACTTTCAAAATAATTAGCTTTTTTTTAGTTTAATATACTGAAAATAAAGAAAGCGACTTCTATCTGGGACTGGTAAAAGGACCTCTCGGTATTAGTTGTACATTAGCTGTCAAATATTTACATATCTTTTTTTGGACATATCAAAAATACATTTGATGGTACAATGAAATTCTTGGAGTTACTTCCCAAACAACATAGTTGAATTTTCATGATTTTTTTTATATCGTGAAATTAAAATGACTGAATAGCAACATTACATGTAGTATTTAGTCAGTCACACTATCTTTTTACATTTTGTTAACAAATATCCGGTGTGATTACATTTTGAATTGAACAGTCTCAACAATCCAAATAGTTTTTTAGAATTTTCCTCATAATATTACTAAGATAACTTTTTATTGATGTCAAAAAAGAAAAGAAAAGTTTTTATTTTTTGGTCTCACAAGAAAATATAGATTTAATGAGAATTAAATGAACAAGACGAAAGGAAAAACAAAATAAAGAAAAAGACATGAAACGTAGCCCCCTCTTCTCTTTTGCTTTCTTCTGTACACAAAATTCTTCTCTCTCTCTCGTGTTGAGATTTCAGCGATTGCTCTATCTCACGACCCTTTAAGTTACGACGCCGTTTTTATCCAAACGCAAAACTCTGGTCTCGGCGTCTCGCGTCACCGTCGGAGCTCGAGCTTCATTAAAGCCGTAGATTTTCCTTCAAAACAGAGAGACCAAAATCCTGGTTTATGGGTTTCATCGTGTTTTGTGCTTTGTGCTTTGAGCCCATCTAGAAACTTAGACGAAGAAAAACCGGAGCTTGCTAAGTTCTTGTTGGTCAGTGTGCTGTTTCTGGCAAATGCTGAGTCTCTTGTCTCTGTAAGTTCTTGAATATTTTTGTTCCTTTTCATTTACTCTGTTTTTCATCCCCATATTTTGGAATTTCTTCCCCTTTTAAGTATCGAAAGCATCTCTATCTTTTTTTTGTTGTTGTTGATGTTCTTCTCATATTCTTGTGGGGTTTTCTACTGAAGTTCACTTAGCTTTGAATCTTGTCTCTATAGAATTTTCAATGGAATTAAATTAACTCGACCCCAAAGAAAAAGCACCTTTAATGATTATTCGGTTCTTCTTTTCTACTCATTAAATGAACTGGTTAATGTGTTACTATTATTCAAACGAGTTTATTTCGTTGTTTCTTGAGTAAGAATATCATATGCATCAATGCATGTACATTGTATTGTCTGCGTATGGAAGCAAATACATGATATCATATTTAATCACCTATGAGCTATGATTGTGTTACCAACCTTAAATTAAATACTTTAAAGCTGATGTGATCTTAAGGGCTAACCTCAGACCATTATCTACTTTCTTTGACCATTGCTCTCGCCTACTAATTTTATAATCCAAAGTCGTATCTTCCCATGCATTTTGGTTGGTATTTGCATCCCTTTGTAGTTTACATCTAATTTTAAATTTTGAAACCAAGTCACCGATTTGTTTGTCACTCAAGGCGTATAGATTTGTCCTTGTGACGCTGCGAAAAAGCAAGTTGTTGAGTTTGAGTTGTAACCTTATGTTTTTTTCTGCAACTTGCTTTCGGATGAACCATTAGATTAGCTTTTTCCTCACAAACATATCTCTTTTAAAGGGTAACAAGTAAACATGTTTCTCATGTTTAAAAACCGATCTTTTTGTTTTGTTTGATGACAAAGGAATGGAATATTCTAGAGACTCGGCAGGGATGATGATGGAGAATAAGCGTAGTGTCTGCTCTCTTGAAGAAAACAGCATTAAACGACACAAGCCTGATCTCTCTTTCTCTTCAAAGGTCTTATGATACTCTCAATCTTCAAAACTAATGAAGCTCCCCGCTCGTTCTTGTACCAGCATGCTAATGATCTTGGAACTTTGTTGTTTCTGTGGTTAAACAGGAGAGGAAGGACAAGGTTGGAGAACGTATTTCAGCTCTTCAGCAGCTAGTTTCTCCTTACGGAAAGGTACACTACTAATCAGTCTAAAACATTCCTTTTCAAGCAAGAGAAATGGTTTTCTCTTACATGTCTAAGTCTCTCTATTGCAGACAGACACTGCATCAGTTCTTCTAGAGACGATGCAGTACATACAGTTTCTTCAAGAACAAGTCAAGGTCTGCTCTGCTTTAATCCAAAGCATGTTTCTTTTGTCTCTTCTTCCGATCCAACAATGACTTTGCTTGTTGCCTGTACAGGTTCTAAGCGCTCCATATCTGCAAACAACACCCACCGCTACGCAGGAGGAGATGGAAGAGTGCAGCTTAAGAAGCAGAGGGTTATGTCTTGTCCCAATGGAGTGTACATTAGGGGTTGCTCAAACCAATGGTGCTGATATCTGGGCTCCTCTCAATACTCCGACATCTCCTGCTTTCACTCTCAAGTCTAATTCACCCTTTCGATGATCGAATCCACCACCACCACCACCACCACTTTTAAAATCTCTCTGTCTCAAGAATCTAATGAAGACAGGCCAAAACGTTTAAAGTCTGATGATAACATAAAACTTATGGAGACAATGGCTGTTACTGTTATTTTACTGCTTGATCACCATTATTTGGACTTTGTATAATTTGTCTACATTCGTAATATAATTGATTCTAATGCAAAAGTTTAACTTGCTGGAAAGAAAATTAGATTAAGCTCTCTAGTCTAAGAACACATGTCGAGTTTTTGCTGGTTATCTGAAACCGATTGATTAGTAATTGATTATGTTTCCGGTTTATGTCGGTTAATGAAGCCATTTTTTTCTGACGGGATAGAAGACCGGTTAAGAGAAACCCGGCCCAACATTGTGAAAACCCGGTTGGTTTGCGGCTTTAGCTAAACCCTAAGCTCTTAAAATCAAAATTCCGCTCACCGGAGGAGAAGGAGACGAAGAGAGAGAGAGAGAGAGAGAGAGAGAGAGACGATGGAACACATAGCTGCAGCGGAGGAGCAAATTGTATCGGAGAGGCTTCAAAGAAAGCTCGAAGAAGTTAATGTAGCTGCTCAGGCTCAGCTTTCTCCTGTCCAAGATCACATCAATTTCACCCTGCAGGTTTGTGTTTTCTTGCATGTCTTGCGTTTCGAGCTCATCAACGTCCCAATTGATGTCGCATCCTTCATATTGTGTCTCTTAGGCTTTCTTATTTATCAATTTAGCAATGTTTAGCTTCTGAAAATAAAATCTTTATTCGTTTTGATACAATCTCCATAGTTTCAAGAAGTCGTCTCTCGTGGTAGTTCTTGGAAAGTAAACTTTTTGATGTATTGAGTTTGATATCTCTACGACTATATTATTCAGGTTCATGAAAATCTTGCTCGGTTTTCGTTCTTATATTTGTCTTTAGAGACTGTGGATCAGGTTCATGAAACTGTCTATATATTGCTCTGGTTCGTTCTACATTGGTCTTCAGAAATTTGAGTGTTACTTTTTTCACCATTTGTTTTCTTGGTTGTTAATTGCTGTATTGAGTTATGTGATCCAGTAAACCAAAACTAATCAACCCCAACAACAACTGTTTCAATTTGTTGCAGCAAGCTTACTTCAAATGTGCATATGAGTGCTTTGACAGAAGTAGAAACCAAGAGGAGATAAGTAACTGCGTTGAGTACTGCAGTGTTCCCGTTGTCAAATCTCAACAGCATTTTGAGAACGAAATGGCTCAGTTTCAGGTACTTTCCTTCCACAAGAAAAGAGAGATACAAAAATGTTTGGTGATTATGAAAGATGATAACTGATGCTGCATCTATATATACATCTTTGTTGGCCGAATGTATTAGGAAAGACTGAACAGATCTTTAATGGTGTGTCAAGACAAATTTGAAGCTGCAAAGCTCCAGAAGATAAGGCCTGAAGCGGTTAACGAGATGGAAAGTTGCGTCCACAAATCCATTGAGGACAACCTCAATACGTTACCACACGTTGTGCAGAGAATGAAGACAGCATTCAACATAACTAACTAAACCTCAAATAGCCTCCTCGAGAAATCTACAAAACAG